AATTGTTACCTAACGTTTTACCGTCTTATATAAGACAAGGTGTAGTGAACATAGTAATTATGTATACTAATATTATGAAGGTGACGAGTTTGTTTGTTTATTTGTCTGGACACGCTCATCTTTGCACCCACTGATTCGAATTCAAACATTCATTTTGTGTTAGTATATATAATAGAAGCGAAGAAAAATATTGAAATATGGAAAGAAAACGGTGAAAATTGTATGAGATCTTCCGTTACCTACGCTGCGAAAACGATTCAAGAAACAAAAAAAATTATGTATCCAAGGATGATGTTTCTTTATCTAAATAGATGTCCGCACGACGCAACGCGGGCGACGTTACAGCTAGTAATTTTTAAGTAGTCAGCCAGTGTTATTGTAATTATAAGATAAATTGAAGTGGGCAGCGGAGCCCCGCTGCGCGATCCTTCGTAGCTAACACCCCCTACCTCACCATGATCTTATAAGCCCCAGTTTACGGTTGCTTCGCGACACTAAATTATAATATAACACGTCGTAAATTTCACAAACTATCCGACACTGACATGCACGATTAAGAATCTCTGCACTTGTGATGTAATAAAGCAAAGACATGAATCAATGTATCATATAATATATAAATTACATGAAAATCAGTAGTAAGTACCTATAGAAATGAGAAATTAAAGTATGACTTTTTAAATAAAACACTTTAACGCTTTAAAACGCGATATGCATTAGTAAAACTTATTTAAAAATAATAAATAACTATGGCCCGACATTTCGGATGCTTTGAAGCAGCCGTGGTCACGGGGAGACATGATTTTCTCCCCGTGACCACAGCCGACTGAGTAAAAGTAGGTTAAGAATTTCACCCTCCTTTTTACGCCAATAATTGCAATATTTACGAATACATTACATAATGTTTTTCGCTTAAGTCACTTTTATTTAAAATATCAAATGGTTGTATGAGCGCTGTCTAACAGACGAACAGTATGGTTTTGCTGAAAATCAGTGTAGCATAATCGTGCAATAACTTATGCTGACGCAAAACGCTTTCATATCTTAATAATATAAACGTTAATTAATCTTTTTGTATTAATTATTTTATTGTAATTATATTTATATCTACTACTACTACTAATGAATGTAGTAAATAATATTAATAATATTAATGCCAAATAAAGAAACACATTAAACAAAACACGGCTCAACGGATTAAAATGCTAAATACATTGCTGAATAGGATAGCATTTTTAACTTTCATATTTGAGATGCTACCATGGCCAGCCATCTTTGTCCAAGGTTGCTGCAAAGCATCCAAAACGTCGACTCAAAAAACAGTTAAAGAATATATTTCGTGTTCTAAACAGTTCAGAGTGTTTTATCACAATGAGAGACACAATCAGAGCTGACTTTTATTAATACAGCACAATACTATTAGTGTTATTCATTATTATATACCGTTGTTAGTTATTATATGTGTGAATTGTACAGATTTACTTTACATAACACGTCTTAAGACCTGCCGAGCCAAAGAAACCGCAATGGTTATATATTTCATTATTGTTTTACACACACGGTATTATTGTGTTAAGTTTCTATTCAGATAAATAGTCGTCTCTGTGCCCTTCCCGATTTAATCAATTATATTTTAAGAGTAAGAAGTCTTTGGTGTTATATAATTAGTAAGATACATTTAACTTTTAAATATAAAAAAGTAACGTAGTATAAAGCTATACGTAGACGAAAAAAGATCACTGCACTCAAAGTAATCAAGCTAAAAAAGACTCAGGTGTATTCACGTGTTTGGTCTAGGATTTGTCGAGTGTTCTCTTAAGCGTATCTCTCCCCTATGTTTAAACTCGAAATTAAGAGGCAGCAAGCAAACAGTATCATCGCTGCAGGGAAAAAATAAAAGGGTGCCGCCAACGGAGTATCTATTCAACGCCTGTATTATTTGAAGCAAGAGAAAGAACGAAAATTGAATAATAAATGAAATAATTTATGCCATATTTATCATTTTGCAAATGAACAGTCGCACCTTAATGAAATCGTTATATTATGTTGAAAAATTCGTTCTAAATTTAAGTTTTTAACATGAGAAACGCTGAAAAATTATAAGGCATCGCGTTTGCACTGTACGTTGTGGACGTTTAACGATTTCATAGCAAACATGTAACACAACTCTCTCTTCACGTCATCTTTTTTTTATGATAGAGAAGGCCAGATTATGGATTGGGTTACCTTGATGGTAGGTGTTGCCCCAGCCTGTTGACTGCGATTTTGATCTATTTTGCCTTTGGACATTCGGAAATCCACGCAAACAAAATGTTGGACCCCGTGGGCAGACCCACAAGCCGTTAAGTGTTCTCGATTTAAATACAAAGTAAAATACAAGTAAAATAACTCGACATGTTCCTCAAAAATTTTGAATGAATTAGAAACATACTAGACCCGGTGGGGGGGGGGAGTCGAACCACGACTCCTTTTTCCAATTTGCATACATGATATTGTTTCACGAATATCGATGTATGTATTTCAAAAGGGCTACAACAATATAACTAAAGCAAGAAGATGCGACACGTTATAAATGTCCGTAAATCAAGGGATCACGTTGACATGGGCTCCTGTTACGGTCGCCATTATCAGCGTTTAAAAACACATTTTCTCGTATGTGTTTTCGTAGTCAGAGTGGAGATTCTAGTAAACGTCCTGCAACAGATAACAAAACTTAGCTTTGCATGGTCTCTCCTGTTACAGATATAACACTACTACCTTTATTTTAAGTTACTTTCGCATTGCAAAATCTTTAATTAACTGAAACTGTAAGTTTGTCAAATCAAAGTATTTTATATTTTGACCTATTTTTCATACATTTTTAAGTGTATGTAAGATATGATTTATAAATCTATACTTATATATAAAGCTGACGAGTTTGTTTGTTTGTTTGAAGTCTAATCAGGAACTATTGGTTCGAATATAAAAGCTTTTATTGTGTTGGTTAGAGCGTTTATCGAGGAAGAATGCCCAAAATAACTATTACATGCGGACGAAGTGGTTGACACCGCTATTCAATAATGAAATTGCAGTAAAACAATCAATAAGTGGGGTCATAAAGAAAAAAACTTTACAGTGTTTTGAAGCAGTTTTTACATCAAACCCAAAAAAAAGAAAACCAGGTTCACAGGTATGTCTTAAAATAAAATTATATTAGACTTTTCTTAAGTGTTGCCCTGTTTTATTTGTTGTATTTAACGCCGTTATATTGTGTTGTCATCGCAATCGCCATCGCTGGACTAGTTACCGCACTGTCTGCATGAAGAGGTTAGTCTAGGTTTGATTCCCGGGAAGAAGCAGAAAAAGTTATATCAAATTCATTAATCCAATTTATAAAAAATATGATTAGCTGTAATATATACGTTATGACTGTCACAACTTCTTAGTGGAAATGAAAACAAAATGAAAGAAACAATGGCTTTTATAGATATAAGATAAAACAGATAGAAAAATTAAATAAATTAGCGGGCAGGTAAAAGTGTGGGCAGGGGGGGGGGGGTGTTCGTTAAGGTTTAATTAAATCGTCCTCGGCGGCCTCTCGCGTTTTAATTCCACCGTTATTAACGCTCTTAAAAAGTGAACACAGAGAACAAGAAAATACATAGAGAGCGCTATTTTTTTTTGCCACCGCGTTAACAAGAAATAAACCACAATAGATATATCTATTTCAAACGCCATAAATTTAACTAAAACTTAGGTAAACTGAAAGACCTAATTTTGTAGAACGCAGTTCACGAAATTCATTTTCGTGCCTCTTTTGTAAAACACGTTTAAAACAGTTAAGATGCAAATGCGTCAGATAATCGGCCCTATTGTTAAATCATATGCGCGTTTAATATAATTATTTCAGATGTCAATTATTAAATTAGAGAGAAGAATTGAAGTTCTTATATAATGTAGGTACTTAATGAACAATATTATAATCGAATAATGTCTACTCCAAAGGTTTACTCCTAGGTATCGTGGACGAGTGGCCGCGGCTTTTCCGCAGTAGCTCTCGCGATAAGACGAATCACGATACTCACCCCTGCTTTGAATCTAACCAAACTGTTTTAATAATAAGCTTAAGTGCTGTTCCTAAAGATGTCCCCGTCTAAGTACTAATTTGTCTGAAATTGATGAGAACGATCTAACGGTAATTAATTCTTTGAGCCCTTTTATTCGTAAGTCGAGGCTAAAAGACAATTTTGTTTTGAATAATACATTACACAGTAGTATCTATATAGGTAGATATAACAGCGGTATCCCTAGATAGATTTACAATAACATGAAATGTCATAGAACATACTTCGTAATATTATAAAAATTAAGTAAAGTCCATTAATACATTTTATTTATTCTTTTGTGTATCAATATTTATGAATGTCACATAAATATTTGCTCTTATTAGTATTTGCATATACCGTGCAACAGCATAATACCTTATAATTCGGTTTAACCAAACAGAAATTGTTTGGTTAAATGTAAAACGATTTTAAAATTTATTTAATAAATAAAGTAAATAGTAATTACCTCTTATTAACTGTGGTAAGATATCGATTGAAACAATAAGAATATTATCTGTATTCTATATCTGCCTCGTGCCAATGTTAACGTCTATGTCAAATTGTCACTGTCAAATATCACTCGATCAATGTCAAATTGTCTATTTACTTAGCTGTCAAAGATGTCAAGCCTGATGTAATCCTAATAAAATGTAACCAAGTGACCAAATAAAATACCTATTAGCTAGTGAACGGTGCGGTTTTTAGTTATGTGCGTGCATGATGCATTATATCCAAGTTATCTCTATTATTACGGCGGGACATGCGATCTTCGACAGTAGTAATTTTAAAAATTGCAATATAGTCTCTCAATGTCTTTCGTATGTCGCCTGTGAAGTGAACATTCGTGCAAAGGTTTCATGAATAATTTTGAAGCACGCAGTTTGTCGGACTTACAATAATTAACATATATCAACAATGACTGGGTCTACTTTACCTGAGAGGGTAGCTCAGATTTACTATACGTATGGGCTATTTTGCTCATCGTATCCAGTAACTGCCATAACATTGGCGATATCCGTCGTGTTATTATGCTGGTGAGTTTTCTAAGTTTATAAACTCACTGTGATGTACTGTGGCGGGGTCATTGCCGCTTGTATTCACTTCCAATAACTTTATTGTTAACATTCATAAGGAAGATTGACTATGAATGGTATTGTCAATAGAAAAATGGATACCAATTGTTAAATTGGATGCAATATAATTAATAGTGCTATACAAAATTTATTATATTTCAGTTATCCTCTGCTTAATGTACCTCTCCCTGGTAATATACCAACAGTTATAAATGTGCCTTTAAATATTAATGAAAACAATGTAAGAAGTATGGAATGTTTAACTAAACCATGTTCGCACACAGGTGAGTTTCACTAATGGATTTGATGCATTCTTGTTTTATTCTATAAATTTCTAGATGTCCAATAATAAAAACTATATACATTTTATTGCATAAGTTGAACTTTAATACATTAATTATCACCTTGAAAGAACAAATTACTATCACAGCTATGTATAAACATGTATGTTTTTTTTTCAGATACTTTTATGCAACTAAATAATTTGCATAATAGCACGCAAAAACTTCCCTATGTGTGGGCTAAAGAGAATCCACTTCTGTATGTTCATCAAATTGTTATCAGAATAGGTATATATTAATCTATTTAATTTTGTATTGTTTCTGATTTTGCAGTGGGGCAATTAGGTATAATGCTCAACTATCTATATCAACTGTTTACCTTTTAACCATGTCTTTTATACAAAAAATTCTTACTAATTCTGTTTTTGCTAGGTGTCTCACCTTGGAACAATAATTTAAAAATGTGGGACGCATTCAGAGCACCATTGCAAGAGGTATTTCGCCTTTTTGAGACTATACGGAATCACGAGGATCCTGAAACGTAAGTTCTATTATAAGAATTGTGATCTGTTTTAAACGCTACAAAAGATATTATTTACTGCTATCGTAACGCTGCTGCAATTTATTATTTATAACTTATTAGATATGTATCAGATATAAGATTGATTGAGGACTGGTATCGAAAATCAAATTTAAAGTTTCTATATTATTAAAAATATTTTAAAATTACTTTGCTGTGCTGTGCATTATGAAATACACATTTCAATCTTGATAAGTAGTTAAATCTACATATATGTATATATTGTTAGCGAATGTCTTAAAATTTGGAAAGCAATTTTATTGTAATGTAGTATCAGTAGTTGCCGCTCTTATCTTCACTGTATTAAGTATTAAAGTTAATTTGTTTCTTAAATCTGTAATGAGTTACTAGTAATAGTAATAATTAGTAATGACAAATATGTTAATTATATTTTTCATCATATGTATTTTGAATTGCTGTAGCGACTTAATTACAGGTTTGGTAAACATTAATATGATTTACAGGAAAAAGACAATATTGCATCACTGCTATCAAATTGAAGGAATAAAGAAGTCAAGCAGTAAAGCTAGTGTCGATAGAGTGCTACCAGAATATAGCTGTCTCCTTCTTTCCCCTGCTAACCTCTGGCAACAGAATTTGCAAACGTTTTCATTGGATGCAAATATTGTTAATACCGTGTACAACTATCAGGTAAATTATATTTTAATATTAACTATCTAGAAGCTATTCTCTTATATATGTACCTATGCTTTATGATAACATGTTAGACAAATTAGATATTTTAAAATGTAAAATCCCGTTTATTTCTCACTCCGCATACCATTGTAAAATGCAGGAAAGTTTTTATAATAATTTGAATATACAGTAGGAGAAATGTAAAATAAAATATTATTTTATATACTATTCACCCTTGCACTTTGCCTAAAATTAAATGGATTGATTATTATTTGGTTGATCATGATGTGTCATAAGATTCTGACACACCATATATTTACTTAGATATGGATTAGCAATAAATTTCTATTTATATCCAATTGTATAATTAGATCATTAATTTAAACTATTAATGCTTTCCCAATTCAAAGAGGCAGGAAGGAAATATAAAATAATAATTAATATTGTGCAATATAAAAAAAACGTGTGTAACTATATGATCTTGGCATGTCTGATAGTTCATAAAGTTGTAATCTCTATTGTTTTATATTTATGCTTGTTTCTTTAATTAATTAATCCTTATCATTTGTTTGCGTAGACAATACAATTTAAAATATCTTTCGTTACGCCTATCTGTATACTTAAAGCGAGTAACAAAATATCGTTAGTCCAATAGCAGTTAATATAATCGTAACCATTTTGAATGTATTTTAAGGTTAACTAACATGTGGCTTTCTTAGATTTTTCTTTTTAATAGACTTTATACTGAAACCACATTAAAGTTGTATAGCTTAAACTAGCTTTGCCCGCGACTTCGTTCCCGTAGAATAGTTATTTTGACCATCATATTATTTTTTTTGCAAACAACCTACTCAGCTTTATATATTATTAGAGTAAAAAATAATGCGTAGCTCTAAATCTACATTTAATCGGTCTTTAATACACAAAAACTTAATTTTTCATTCCTTATTACCTTTTATATCCATTAATTGCTAAATATGTCGTTTTTGGTCGATTTATATATTTAGCAAAAATAAGCTAGAATACAATTTAAACAAACTCGTGAGATTGTCCACTAGATTTAGGATAATCATGAGTATGTATGGATAAAATTTACTTAAATACGCTAGATTAGTTTCAGCATATTAATATATTGTTTATATATATATATATATTGTTGTTCAGATAATTACTTCTAGTGTGTAAGCATGTGTCATTTACAATGTTCTCTAAATTAAGTTAAAGTTTATTGCTGGCTGTCTGCGGCTACTGAAATGTTTGAGAATTGTTGCTGAAACCAAACCCAGATTTGGATCGGGACCCGTGCATTCGTGTTTACTACATGTACCCACATGTACGTTTCAAAAAGATAGATAAAAAATGATGAATTTGTGATGTTTCAGAATATAATCAAAGGAAAGGCTTCGATAGCTGAAATGGCATTCGGTATGCATCTTCGCGATACGGGCATAAAACGCTACCCGCTCAGAGCGAGACCACGTGTTCTACAATACGCCGTTACGATTTTTTACAAGCACGTTGATCATAGGTAATTATGGTATCTGACCCTGTTATTAGAAAAAAAATCCTCCGCACATGTAAGCCACTCTAAATGCTGTTGCCATCTACATAATTATCTTATTCTAATAATTGTGTTGCGCTAAGCAAGCTTTATTAGGGCTGATACAGGAAGTCAGCATTACCCTTTATCAAATTTTGTGTGTAGACCGCGCACTTATCTTTAAACGGTGTTCTTAGTAATCATTTGATGTTGAAATTTATCGGTTATATAGGTTTGTTTATCTATTGTTATTATCTTTTCAGGTTCATTAATTCACTAACTAACAAGTTAAAAGACATGTACCCGCTGTATCAGAATACACCGCAGTCCCAAAACCCAGAGGTCACACTAATATATTACCCGGGCCAGTTCAACTATCACGAATTGGTGCCTCTTCTCATTTCGCTAATCGGTATTTTTTTATACGTCTATTTCTCTGTGCGAAAGATTGAGTTCATCAAATCGAAGTTCGGCTTAGCCGCATGTTCAGTTCTTACGATCGCTGGCAGCTTGTCCATGTCGATGGGTATATGCTTCTATTGCGGGTTCTCACTGAGCCTTCAAGGGAAAGAGATTTTCCCCTACCTCGTTATAATAGTGGGCCTCGAAAACATATTGGTGCTAACGAAGAGTGTGACCTCCACAGACTCTAGATTGGACGTGAAAATTCGTTTAGCGCAAGGCCTCAGCAAGGAAGGCTGGTCGATAACAAAGAACCTACTCACGGAAATAACGATTCTCACAGTCAGCCTATTCACGTTTGTGCCTTTTATACAAGAGTTCTCTATATACATGATAGTTAGTCTGATATCGGATTACTTCGTCCAGATGTCGTTTTTTGCGCCGATACTAGTTATAGATGTTAGCCGAATGGAATATTTTCCGGAGCAAAATAGTAAGTTGCATTTGAAAGAGTACTTCAGTGCGAGCTACGCTCTGAACTGGCGATATAGTAATGGCTATGAGGACAATAGCTTCTCGCCACAACGAATGACGAAGTCAAAATCGCATCCCAGGTTGAATGGCTTAGCGCAGAACAGTCCTACTGATGTGGTGGCGAAAAGGAATTCTAGCCCCGGCACAGCTGATAACAGAGTGCCTAAGAGGATCCGCCTTGTTAACATGTGGGCGAGGACGAGGTTCTTCCAAAGAGCGTTTATGGTGTGGATGCTAGTTTGGATATCGATGATCGTATACAACTCGGGAGTGGTCGATTATTTCATTACTAAAGTCGATAAGATAAACACGTCTACGGAGAGCAATAAAAGGATTAATAAAGAGGTTAGTTGCGATAACTCTATTTTAAAATCTATTTTTCTAATGATAAAGGACAGACTATGGAGTTCACATGATGGTAGATGAAAGACCCTAGTCAACATCTAAACAAAATGCACCGTTTTTGTTTTTGCTTTTTCATCTAGTGACGTTAGTTCGCGACGTTCGGAGTTTCGATATTCCTACCAAGCATTTAATATTCAGTGTCAGTAAAAATTATAAATTGATTAGAATAATGTTAGACCCGGTCGTGATCCAACCCACAACTCGTTCATTATATGCTATACGTTGCTAGCATTACACCAACAAGCCCGTCGGAATATGTCGAGTTTATTCGTTTCGTTACTGTGTCTCTCCGTGTATCCATGTATCCTTGACACTAATAAAAAAATGAAATCCCGTTTCTCCCGGCGGGACAGGGGGCATGGGGCGAGCATATTTCTATGTCCGTTTCATTGATCGCTTCTTTTACAGGCACCTTTTACCTGCCTGATCGAAACAATCTATTGTGTCCCCAAAATTCGAACTCAAAGCCTGTAGCGTTTATCCCTTAATCGGATTTCTGTATCCTTTTGGCCGGAAGCTATTTATTCTCCGGGTTTTGAACCTGTCAACCGTTGCTACTTTTATTGTTGTGACTAGATAAAGACAAGGTGCAGTTACAACTACTTTATTATCTCTTGTAGCTACCTTACATCTACTATACTAAAAGCGGGTAGGCTTGACTACCTACTAACAATACAACATCTTCCCCTTAAAAGATAAGACCCGCTATGCACTACCACACACTTTTCCCCCTTAAAGAAAAATATGAACAATATGAAAATAAAAAGAAAACACACTAATTACAAACATTTTTCAGTTTTTTCGCCCGACTTCTGGTTAAAATTATAGAACGCTCCTTGGAAGTGCGTTCCACTTCATCTGGTGAACTGTCGTCACCGTCAGGCTCACTTATTAAATTATTTTGATCATGATGATCTTCATTTTTAGATAACAACGGATCAGGTTTTACAATTTGTTGTAAATGGCGCCGGTTGCGCCGATAACGTGATCCAAATTTGTTCTCAATTATATAAGACCTAGGAGTGTTTGCTCGCCCAATCACCGTACCCCGACATCTACTATTATTATTATCACATATTATGACGGGGTCTCCTACATTGAGTGCGGGCAAAGACTTACAATTTCGGTCATAATAGATTTTCGATGTACATTGATTCTGCAACATTTTTACATGTTCTTTTGGGTCTACGGGTTGTGGCTTCAATACATTCGGGTGAACGGGCAACTTACACCGGAGCCTACGACCCATCAACAATTGTGCCGGAGAGCTCAAACCATCTCGTGGCGTATTTCGAAGATTTAATAGGCTTATGTAAAAATCTGTTTTATCCATATAACACTTCTTGAAAAGTCCTTTTACTGTCTGAACCGCTCTTTCACTTCTCCCATTAGACTGAGGATAGTTAGGAGACGATGTAATATGGTCAAAACCCCATTCTTTGACGAAGTTTTTGAATTCCCTGCTTGTATATTGCGGACCATTGTCCGTCATAAAAGATTTTGGAATACCGTGACAAGAAAAAATCTTTTTTATGCAATCAATAAGTGTGTACGAAGTAATATTATTCATGTCACACACTTCAATGAAATTTGAATAATAATCGACTACAACTAAGAAGTACTTTTTTCTGTATTCAAATATGTCGGAACCTACTGTTTCCCAAGGTAAAGATGGTATGTTTATTGGCAACATAGGCTCTTTGGCGTGCGAATTTGAGCTCTCCTGACAAGTAATACACTTTTTTACAAACATTTCTATATCTTTCGATATGCCTGGCCAGTATAACACTTGCCGCGCACGCCGCTTGCATCTGTCAATTCCTAAATGCCCTTCATGAATTATTTTTAACATTTCTTTTCTCAAACATTGCGGGATGATAACTAAATTTTGTCTAAAAATTACACCATCAACTATAAATAGTTCGTCCTTCATTGACCAATATTTGCTTACAATACAATCAACATTTCTTTTATATTCCGGCCACCCATTATTAATACAGTCCGTCAGTGCCTTTAATTCAAAATCCGTAGCTGTACACTTTTTAATCAATGTTAATTTACTGTTAGAAATTGGCATATTGTTGATGACCATTTTCAATTGATATACAATCTTAGTATGAATTTCATCGCTATACAGATCGGGAAGAGGCGCGCGAGACAACGTATCAGGAATATACATATATCTACCCGGTACATATTTAACAATTAAATCATAACCTTGTATTCTAAGCATCATGCACTGCAAGCGTGCTGGAACGGACATTAATGGTTTTTCAAAAATGCTCTCCAACGGTTTGTGATCACTTTCGACTATAATCTTTTGTTTACCGTAAACGTATTGATGAAACTTTTCACACGCGAATACGATGGCCAACAGCTCCTTCTCTATTTGAGCATATCGCCTCTGGGCGTCGGTGAGGGTGCGAGACGCGTACTCGACGGGACGACCGTGCTGCAGAAGAACGGCGCCCAGAGCGTCGCGCGACGCGTCCACGCTCATCACCACGGGCGTTCTCACGTCGTACAGCGCTAATACCGGTGCGCTCGTGATACATTGCTTTAGCTTAATAAACGCATTCGCTTCGCTTTGCTCCCAGCGCCAGCTGTTATCTTTTTTGAGTAGACTAGTCAACGGAAGCGCGATTTCCGAGTACTTTGGAATAAATCTCGATAAATAATTAACCGCGCCTAGAAATCGCTCAAGATCCTTTTGATCCTTAGGAGCGGACATATTTTGTATTGCCTTTGTTTAATCAGCATCCGGTCTCATACCGAGGGTGTCAAATATGTGCCCTAAGTAAGTTACTTCCTGCGTACATAACTTACATTTGTCTTTATTAAACTTTAAATTAATAAGTCGGGCCCTCTCTAACAAAGCCTTCAGTCTCAAATCGTGCTCCTGTTTATTAGAGCCCCACACAATTATATCATCGACAAAATTGTCTACACCCTCCAAATCCTCTAGTAGCTGTCGCATTTTTCCGTGAAAAACTTCAGATGCCGAGTTAATTCCAAAGGGTAAACGCAAAAACTGATAACGGCCAAACGGCGTAGCAAATGTACAGAGATCCGCACTTTCCCTATCTAGTTTAATAGCCCAAAATCCAGAATTCGCGTCTAAAACGGAAAAGAACTTAGCTCCATGTAATTTGGCAGCCATTTCAGTCAGCGTCGGAAGCTGAAAGTGTGCGCGCTGAACGGCCCGATTTAATTCACGAGGATCTAAACATATGCGAACACCGTTATTTTTCTTAGCAGCCAAAACTAAAGGATGCACCCATTTAGTTGGATAATCTACTTTTTTAATAACATGTAACTCTTCCATCTTTTTTAATTCCTTTGATAAAACGTCGCGCATACCGAACGGAATCTTTCGCGAAGCACAAACCACTGGCTGAACGGACCGATCCACGACGATATGATGTTCGCCCGGTAAACAACCTAAACCCTTAAACACGTCACCGTAGTTATCTAATTTTATAGATTGGATACGTTTTATTAATCCCAATCGTTCACAAGACTTCCGTCCCAGCAGGCTTTGACATTTAATATCAGCAATTGCGAAATATAAATTATACAATATGTTTTTAAAACACCAAGATAAATAACAAAATCCTCTTATTGGAATTGTATTGCCGCTATAAGATTTCAAACGAATATTTTCCTTTTTAATTACATTTTTATCGAAGCCAAACCGCAAAAAAGTTTGAAACGATATAACATTCACATCGGCACCCGTATCTAACTTAAATTTTTCTCTTCCCTTATCACAATATAACACCTCAAACCATTCATCACAGTGATCAGTATCTTTCTCAATAGTGGAAACATAAAACAAGCTACCGTCTGCGCTATCGTCGCTATGATTATCGTGACACTCGAGCTCATACACGCGCCTGTCCCTCGAATAACAATTAGATTGCTTCAACTTACACATTCGAGCAAAATGTCCTTTATTACCGCACACAAAACACTCAGCACGGGCCGCCGAACAGCGCCCCTCCGCACAACGCATCGAACCGCACGCGTCGCAGCGGTTCACCACAGCACGCACAGAGGCGCCCGCGCCGCTCGCGCGAGTCTGCGCCGCGCTGCCACACGATCACATTGAACTGCACTTTGCCCGCTGACACTTGCTCTTAGTTGGGTATCACTCTCTCGAGACACTTCCTCTGCTTGGCATATTTTAATTGCCTTGTCGAGCGATAAATCCTCACATCTCAGTAAGCGATCCCTGATCGCATGATTACGGACACCACACACTATGCGGTCCTTTATCAATTCTTCTTCAAGGCATGCAAAATTGCAATATTTACTAATTAAACGTAAAGCAGTAACATACTGTTGTATCGACTCGCCGTCCTCTTGTACGCGAGTAAAGAACTTGTAACGCGTAAGCGTGATGTTTCCTTTCGTATCAAAATATGCATCAAATTTTTTTAATAGTACGCATATATCGTCTTTGTCTTCTTCCTTCTCGAATGTGAACGTTTCATATACGTCGAAGCCAGATTGAACACTCGCCGGTTCCGTTTGTACACCCGAAGCCTTTAAAAATATCATAAACTGCTGCTTCCAGCGCTTCCAGGCGTCGGCCCGACTCACGGGACCGCCTTCCGCCATACTTAACGCGCTTGGTGGCCGTGCGTGTTCCATTTTTCCACCCGTTTAGTCGTTATCAACTTAACTTTTCGATTTAAGACGATTACTGGTTACTCACTTTACGTTTCTAACAATTTACTGAACTGAATAAACTCACATTTTAACTATAAACGAATTAAAATTACACCTGACACCATGTTGTGACTAGATAAAGACAAGGTGCAGTTACAACTACTTTATTATCTCTTGTAACTACCTTACATCTACTATACTAAAAGCGGGTAGGCTTAACTACCTACTAACAATACAACATTTATAGCTTCAGCAAAAGCAGAGTCGTGTCTATTTGCTTTAACTGCTTCTTATGTGCATCTGTATTGTTTTATTTAATTATCTGTTTAAGGTGGAACCTAAACAGGTGATAAGTGTGAACAACAATAGTGATCGGCATCCGTTGGTTTTCTCACCACTTTTGGACGTCGTTGATGATGAAAAAACGGTTGTCGACGGTAACGATACGATATACTTGAAGCATTCTGCACACTCTCGACCCTGGTCTCGGTAAGCGCGTTTCGTTTGCCTTATTAATTATAATAAAAAAAGCTTCATTCATTTGTATAACAAAAATCCTATTTACACGAAACAAAAAACTACTTTCCATCCTTTTTACACTTAATTAAGTAACTACACACACTTTGGTAATTCAATTACGATGTTTGTAATCATAACTTTACGTAAAAACATACCGTTTTTATTTATCTCTCTAAAATATGTTTCATGTAAATATGGATTATTATTTCTTAATTATCTAAATAAATGTTGTCCGTAGTTAACACGAGAAGTGAAAAAACAAACACTGTTAACTGTTTAAAACGCGAAATATATATTCGTCAAACTTATTAACGATTTAATTGAAATACGGCCTGACGTTTCGGGTGCTTTGCAGCAGTTATGGTCACAGGGGGACTGCTAAGTAAAAGTTACGGCTAGTTAAAATAAATATTAACTATCATATTTGGCGTTTTGCATTGTGAAAAGTGTTTTATTTAATTCATTGAAATAGTTCTTAGATTTCGTAGTTTCTCTTTGTGAAAGGTTCAAATTATACAGTGTAACACCTAATTGGCCTATCCTTGATGTAGGAAGCGTTTTAATTATTTAGATAGTGAAGGTCTTACGAGTATTTACATAAATTAAGTCTTAAAAATACAAAACAAACAAGCAAAATGTTTTTTTGGAATTACGACCTTCATTATGGTGATGCCGGTGTAACGAAATTATTTATTGCAAAGTTATGACCTAATATGTAAAAAAAATATTATAATTAACATAAATATTTTGTGGTTATTATTTGACTATTTCTTATACAGAGACTAAATTAGCAATTCTAATTATAACAAATAATATATAATTTTGAAGACGTTAAGAATGTCAGTTAACAGAGAATTTCTATCGCCTTGCAAACTTTTCTCGCAACTATATTTATTATTATAAACCTTAACCAAAAATAAGTCAACTAATACATTTCGAGTTTTAAATCGTTAAAAAATAAAGAATTCAAAGTCAATTGAAAGACACATACAGGATTTGAATCGGCATCGTCAGCGTCCCCTGCTTTTGCACTAACCAACTGAGCTACCAAGTTCTCCTCGAATTTTTTCAACCTATAATAGATAGCACCTCTCGCGCTAAAAGTATTTTGAATGTGTACTACTAGCGTAAACTTAAAATATACTTAACTCCATTTTATATTGCCCCTTTCCAATAGGTTAAATTCGCATCACTGGTCTGCGATACTCTCCCAATACAACGAGAGTTTGGCCGGTAAATACCTGATGATACTACCACCGCTGCTTATCAGCCATCGGGTCAGTCCTGAAGTAGCGGCCGGGGTTCGACATCCGGGTGAAAAAGACCCACCTCCGTTGCGGTGGCAGGCGCTGGCCGCGGCACTTGATCCTATAGACACTTTACCTGGTGAGTTTTTTATGAGCTGGTTCTAAATCATCAACTTATCTTAATGGATTAGCGCTGTGTTGTTCGTTGTTCTCTAAAGAATTGCCATTAGCTATTATATAATTGAAATTAAATGCCGTGTAACTAATTTCAAGCTTAGTTCTATGTCCCAGGCATGGGATGTCATGGGTGTGCCCGGGTTTTGAAACCAGGAACGTCACGCTTAACGCAATGCTCTAGGTAACACGTTTCACCATTTAGGAACTTTAATATTTTTCAAATGTTATTGCACGTGATGGCACTATGTAATTTAAAATCTAAAAAAAATTGAAAAAAATTTCGACTCGGGCAGAACTTGAACCGGACTCGGTAGCTCAATTAGTAAAGCGACAGCACGGAACGCTGACGATGCCGGTTCGAGTCCTGCCAGAGTCGATATTGTTTTCAATTTTTTTTTTAAGCTACTGATGTATTTTTTAAGGTTTTATACATAGTACCTAAGAGTAACTTACTATTGCCGTGATATTTTTAAAAGTTTGCGTCGTTTATTTCAGAATTCGACATGACCGATAGTAAGAATCAACCCTGGGGTAAAGGTGCGGAGCTTCCCATATACCCAACTACCCCCATGGAGATTCTACTATTGACTATACTTTGCACAATTAGTATCGTGGTGATAGCTTACATGATGGTGGTATTATATCGGTAAGTTATAACAAATACAGTCTATAGTTTACTCAAGTAGTACATATTTAAATAAAACACTAACGGTTTAAAACGTGATATATATTAGTTGAGCTTAATTGGAAATTATTTTGTCGGGGTGTCTCCCCGTGACCACGGCTGCTGCTAAGCATCCGAAATGTCGGGCCGTAGTTAAAATAATTTCCAAAAAATTTTAATTAATATATATCACGTTTTAAGCCGTTAGTGTTTTATTTAAAAGTTATAACAAATACGAATAATTTTAGTAATTTAGAAATAGTCCTTAGTTGGAATTACAGAATTTGGCTGTGTAAACCTTTTTTAATATTATTTAATAGCTTCTATCTTGTGACGATGTACACGAAGGTTATTTTAAAGAGAACTTTTCAAACTAATTTAGGTTATATGTCAAACTCAGTAGGACAGTTTCTAAAGATTATATATATTATATAATATTTTGTTCTTACCATCATAAGTTCTCGTGTGTATTTGAAAATCAGCATTTCTTAAAAAAATTCCCATAAGTAAGTAATAAGTGTGCAAAAAGTGATCAAAACAAATTGAATTGATTATTGGTTACTTATGAGTTTTTACTTTAAATAATTCATAAGAAACTGAATAAAAAAAAAGTTTTGAAACTTATTCATAAAATATTCGATGTGTGCTTTAGTAAGCACACTATACACTAATAAGTAAGACTTAGTAGTCTATCGTAGGTCGCGTCTACTGAAACGAATATATAGCAATGTACAAAGCCACCAGCGTCCATAGACGATTACAATAGGATTGATCAGTATGCAACTAGGCGAAAAGTCGCTCGAGCGGTCGCCGTTCGCATCGCCCATCTTCGTAGTCTATTAGTAAAGTCGCTTGTTTAATTCCCAGTTGTATCTGCTCCCGACACTACGCCGAATGGCGCGCTTCATGGAACGAAGACGACGAATACAGAAAAATCATCGCCAAGCAACCCGCTGTACAGGTACTTACTGACTGAATAAAATTTCCTTAAACATAGTAATTAACAATAATTTGCCTATAATTAAATAATTTTATAAAACAATTCAATTGTTAGAATGTCACAATCTGGTTTTATATAGATTTGTACTATTGTAACACAAGTGTAGAGCGTCGCGCGCGAATTGTTAGTGTAGTGGTATGTGGTAGTCGGGCACGAGAAATCTTTGTTTATTCTAAGGTGGTGAAGATTAAAGCTAGTCCAGTCGAATTAGTCCTTAAAATAGAGGTAAAGTTACAATTACTAGTTACATTAATTCATATAAAGCTAGCAATTGGTATAGATGAATATAACATTGAACAAAACAAATATTTTTTTTACCAGGTATAGTAGTGAAATAGCAAACGCCGTTCTTAACGTAATTGTTAAAAGTACTTATAATTGAAATAATGGTTAAAAATTTTTTTTTTTAGAATTCTTCTGTATCGTATGTAAAATTAGCTGAGCTAGCAAGCGTTTTTTTGACCAAACTTTGACTACCATACAAAACGATTCTTGTGAGTTGATCTTAAAAGAAAGATAGACGAATGAATCTTTCTTTCATATTATTTTATATCTTCAACCTTTTTCGCAACGCACGCGACGGAAACCCTGATGGATATTTTAACACTTCTCCCAACATTCTTCCAAGCAACACAAAAATATTTTTTCAATCAAACATGTCTATGTCAGGAACTACACTCCTGTAATTAGCGCGCTCAAACAAGCAAACTGTACAGCCCTATATATTAGTTTAGATGTAGAATTATTATATATTTAGAGCCACGGTCGGATTGGATTTCATCTGTAATAGCAAGTAAAATATTTTTTTTCAACATTTACAATTGACAAAGGATATATGAAATGTTCACAAGGCCATATGAGTAATAAATAAAAGATAATATTTATTCAAGAGACTCTTTCACAATTCTATATCTATACTGCACCCACAATAAACTTTTTTATTACTACGTAAGTGACTGTGTGAGAAACAGGTTTTATAGTTTGATAACGTCCGATTAAATGTTCTCTTATGTAATTTCAAATATCCTCTCGTTGCTTTCACTCAACGGAAATATGTGAAAGTACTTTTGTCTATGGAACACTGTTTAATATATCACATCTTTAGTTAGTAATGGAAGCTGTGCCGCTGGTGGTTGCCGGTCACAGTCAAGAAGTAGAATGCTTGGTTACGGATGGAGAGAAGATTGTGAGTTCGTGCCTGCAGGGGAATATCAAAATTTGGGATTCGTTAAACGGAGAAATTATTACCTCGATTGATCGTAGTGCGTGAGTGCCTAGCTTATAACTCAGCCCATAAAATCCCATTTCCCCTGAGTGGGACATGGGACAGACATCCCATGTCTGTTTCATTGATCGATTTTAGATAAGTACTTGTAAAACGATATATGTTTTTCCCGTGATTCAAATTTAGAACTTGCTTAACATATAGAGCTGAATTGCTTTTAAATATAAAACTTTTTTTTCATTTATAAATGTTTTACTGTAAATGATAAATACACTTTACAATTTATTATCTGTGGTCTGACTTCGAATAATTCTAACGCCCTTTAATAATTTTAAAACTATATCAATGTAATAAATGTTGATAAAACAATTTTGCGACGTGCTTGAATTTAAAACAAAGAGTCTTTTTGTTGGCGTAAGAATTTTTGATGTGAATTTTAGGCAAGGCCCTTATGAGTTTTATAGGTTCAAATACATGCATAATCTGATTAATAGTTTGATTTTTCAGCTATTTCAATTTGGAAATGGAAATGTACGACAAAGCACACTCAAAGAACTCCCTGGAGGACTCAGATAAATATGACACTTATACAATTGAAGGTATTATATTTTTATATTATACTCTAGTCTCTACTATTTAAATATTATTGTACAACTCGATCTCCTGTTTTATATAATATAGTATCTTTAAATAAAACTGTTTAAAATACCCAATAACTTATTAACAATTTATTTTAACCCTGAGGGTAACGCTAATATCAAAGTCAGAGAAACAGGTGCCGCTAACTTAGAATAAATCTTATTTTCGTTCGTAGATTAAATCTACTTTGACGTTAGGGACGTCTTACATCTTCAGCCATTCTTTGCGAGAGCCGTGTCACGGGTCAAAATAAATTTCGCAATTTAAACAGTTAATAGTGTTTTGTTTAAATGTGAAGTACTACTACTAAATTAGTGCTGATATTCGGGAACGACAGTTGAACGTATTCTCTAAAGTTAGCTGGTGTAACGTTAGCTGCCTTATCGATTTAGTCGTGTGTGCCGGCGACTAAATCAGCAAGGCAGCTAACGCTAGGATTTTTAGAAATAAGAAGCTTCGAAGCAGGAATTAATAATTGAAACGTCTAATGCTAGGAATGGATTGCTATTTCGCCTTCCTTCAAGTGAAGTAAAAAATTAAACTATTGTTTCTGATGTTTCAGAAATGCGTGACATAGATGTGCTACAACGGCCAGAGGTATGTTCTATTTAATTACAAAAAATTTGACCATCCATACTTGTATACTAGATTACTCCAGATTGCAAGCCTAGTTGCGACCAAGTCTTATATAGTACTTAACTCAAATAATTCGCGGAAATTAAAACTAAGTAGTACAATTCAGAGTTCTAAAACTAATGACAAAGGTTTTTACGCGCGAAACTTTTTTTTTAATGAACAGCTGTCTATGTGCAAGCCAGTTTAAAATTTAAGTTAAACCCTTGATATACCTGTTTGGCAGCCATGTGGTGGAGTCGAAGATCGTTCCATTTTTAAATTACACGACAAATATGATTATACACAGTAATTTATTTGGTCGTTTAACAGGACAGATATTGATTTTCATACAACTATTGCCGACCGCTGCTCGACCAGTACAGCAAGTCCGATTTATCTCGAATGTTGTCAAAATAATGCTCAAATTTCGAAGCATGTTTAAGAAGACATCGTTTTTCCATGTCTAATTATTATCATTGTATATTATTGTTCATGTATTTGTGATGTTTCAGCTCCGACTTCGCCGAGGTTTCTTAAACCAGCACCTTGGCCGTTTGCGATTTCAATCAAATCAACGAAATCCACCTTCGTGCCTTCCAGTTGCCGAGAAAACTAAATATTTATTTGCTAAGTCATATAGGTAAGAGCTTATGACGTATTAGGCCGCTAGATGCAGAGTAGCCTAACTGCAATTTTATGACTAAGTTAATTGCGCGTGTTTCTTTTCCTTTTTATTGAAATCGCGTTTTTTGTTATTAGGCCACTCTGCCTATAGACTCATATTACGTGTGTTTAAATACATGTCTGTACAAGCTATTACGAAATTCCACAGATGAAAACACCGTGAATTTTAATCGCGTTTCCGTTTCCGTCTGTGGATTTCGGAATATCTGAAGCCAAAATGACAAGTATAAAGACAGCACTTTGTTAAGATGTCATAAAAAAAAAACAATTTTATTAATATATTGTTTGTTTCAGAGATCTTTACTGCTCCGACGAGCGGGACATATACGAGACGAAAGAAAGGGTGGACTTGAATAAAATTAGTGTAAATAAAGAGATAAGTGCAATTAATGACAATGATAATAATAGTTTATTAAATAGTGAAATGGTAAGAAGTAACCACGATAGAGTGAGGAAGGCGCGCAGTGTCGATGTGAACGACGAGAATTGGAGGGCGAAACCGGCCAGGGTTTCACCGGTGTGGTGTATGGACTTTTGTAATGATCTTATCATATTGGGCTGTGCTGACGGTAGACTGGAGTTTTGGGAGGCGACGTCTGGGAAATTAAAGGTTAGTTAACGCACGTCCTTTTTATGGTAGAGGAGGAGAACCAAGCATGCCGTTCACTTGATGGAAGGTGTAATACCACAGCCATATAACATCTCAATAAGAAGAGGGCTTTTGACCTTTGGAAATCCACAGACTGACACCGATATGCGATTACATCGCGGCTTTTTCATCTGTAAATCTTGTCTATGGTTTTCTGCCTGCGTCTGACTGTCACCGAGGTGTATTTTAGAACCGCTGGACACAAAATTTTTGCAATCACATAAGATACATTGAAATTTATATTGTCAATAGATTTCTTTGTTTCCTAAATATTGGCTATAGTTTACGAGAGTAGAAGTAAAGATCACTTTGAACGGCTTGAAACGCGGAATATATTTTTATAGAGTGATCACCCCGTGTTCACAGAATCCATGCTTAAATAATTAAGTAAGTTACTAATACATTCCGCTTTTTAAACAGTTATAAGTTAATTAAATTCGATGTGTTTGCCATATTCGGGTAACCCGCCATATCGGAAAAATTGTTACCAAAAAAGTGTTTTGGCTTTATTATAGGTGTAATGTAAATATTATAAATTCAAATAAAATAATTGGTCACAGTGTGTATGGTGGTGCATGGAGAAGCGGCCGAGTGGTACTGGCGTGACCCATGTGAAAGCCTTGGGGGGTGGAAGGCGGATATGCGTGGCTCTGTTAACCGGACACTTGACACTGTTCCGCCTAGACGCGTACAACAGTACTTCCGGTGCGCACGTCGACTGGAGATTCAGTACGGCGCATAGGAGAAGTAAGTTAATAATTTTGTACCGCTGCCTCGATGGTCTACACCATGGGGCACCGATAGAAGGTCGGCTTATCACTCCAGATTATTTGCTAAACATTCTACTTTCACAGAGGACATTATTATCCATCTCACTGTGTTTAAACAAAACTATTTAACGGTTTAAAGTACGAAATATAACAGTATTCAGTTGAAAATAATCGCGGCTGCACGGTCATGCAGCCGTAGTCAGGGGGAGAGTCTCCCCGTGGCCACGGCCAAGGCATCCGAAAGGTCGAGCCGGAGCTAAAATAGTTTTTTAAATAAGTTTGACTAATATATTTCACGTTTTAAACCGATAAAGTGTGTGTAGACTGCAGACAGTATCTCACTATGTTTCCTTTAAACTAGCGCTCACAGCATTATAATGCATCTGCAAGAGTCTGGGTTAGAATTCTGAGTCGAAATGTCATTTTGGTAATTCCATTCTTCTGAGAAGATTCTAGTCCTGGCCTTTAGTGTGGCAGTGGATTTCATACCCCTCAAAGTGAATGTTACGTCAGTTCCGAAGTATTACTGTGGCTGGGAGATCATGGGCTTGGGTAAAATAAAACAACTTTTGTGATCGTGTTGTATTGCTCTGTATGAAAAGGACTCAAATCTTTTTCGAATTTTTGATTTACGGTGTCAAACTTCATAATAGTAATATGATGTAAATATTCTCCAGCTCACAAAAGAACGGGTTCCGCGGATTCACTACGCTGCGCGCAAGCGATAGAGGAGGAAATGTCTCGTGGCCGGATGAGCTTTTCGTATGAAGCCGAAAACAGTGATGGTGAAGGTAAGCTCACGGAATTTACACTATTCCTTCCATCATGATAAACCGTAACCATATTATCGTAAATTGGATACTGATTTGACGTTTCAACTTTTCGTTGTGGTGGTCACGGTACAACATTGCACAATATTAACATATAACAATTCGAAAGTTAAGGCATTTATCTAGAAAGGCTATATATACATTGCGCTCTGACTTCTAGAAGCGATGATACGGCGGGAAATGTGAACAAATCGAGGGAAATTTTAATGGGAAATCTCTGTGGGTTTCTGATGCGTACGCTGCGAAAACGGTTCAAGACACACAAAAAATATGTATAGAGGAATGATTCCTCTTCAAATTATCTGAAGAAATGTCCGCGGCACTATATGCGTATCTTTTAAGACTAACTTCCAAGAAAGATGATCGTGGGCAGCTTAAATTTATAAAGATATAGAGGTTTGCAAAAAAACGCGGACGAAGTCGCTGATACAGCTAGTTATAAAGAAAAATCTGATAATTATTTAAAGCGTTTTATTTTCAGAGGTAGTTTGTGTTCGGGTAGCGCATTGTCGACCGCACCAGCAGCCGATAACTGAATTACACGCGGAGGGTGGTCGCATTCTCACTGGAGGTCAAGACCATGTTCTAAAGGTAAGTTTGATAATGAAACTGTTTGGAAGTATTTTTAGAGCATACTAGCTGACTCGGCGTAAGTTTTTTGGTATATATGACTTTTAGGGTATTTCTAGTTTAAGTATCTGATAAGACTGAAAGTACGTATATACCTATTTTGAGACTAGTTTATTATAATTTCAATGTATTTGTATAAAATGTAATGTAATTAAATGTTAGTGTGTATTAGACAAAGTGTCAAACAATCTCGCTTGCGGCCTTTGAACGGGAATATCAAACGGCTTCATTTTCAAAGACATATATAAATAAATTAAAATATAAATTCGTATTTATTTCTGGGTATTATTTGTTCGATTAGGTTGTCGTTGTAAATGTTGTGTTTTTCACGTATTTCTTTACTACTCTATTAATGTACTTTCCAGGTGTTCTCGAGTGAGCTAACACAGCTGTTTACTCTACATGGTCACTGTGGACCGATCACGAGTTGTTTCATAGATCACGCGACACCCACGATTGCTGGGAGTGGTTCTCAAGATGGCTTACTCTGCGTTTGGGATTTACATACGGGTAAGAATTGATAGTTTGTTGAATTACAGAAATCTTGTGGTCGTACACATGACTTATATGTTGACAGCAGAATAGTTCCTTGGTGGCGTTCATATTGGTTACTAAGATGTTCTTCTGGTTAGGATAAGGTCGTTGAAACACTGAGGGTTTAAGACGCGAAATGTATTAGGTAACTATACTAATATAATAACTAACTAATACATTTCACGTTTGAAACCGTTAAAAGTGTACCGTGTATTTAAATGTGTTCTTCTCGTGTGAACTACTGACAATGTTTATCTATACATAATAATATTACTATATTTTGCAACTCTTTTACAATATTTTAGGAATTCCCTCCTTCACTGATATAAGTTCACATCATTTATTTTATTTTAATTCCAGGGGCATGCCTGTACAGTATGCAAGCGCATGATGGCGCAGTGACGTCACTTGCTTACACCGCGTCTTACGTGGTGTCAGCGGGCGCGGACGAACGACTCTGCATATGGGACCGGTTTCAGGGGCATATGCTGAACTCCATTCATATAGTACGTATAGTTTAGATTTGTGATATACTAGCGATCCGCCCCGGTTTCGCTCGGGTGCAATGCTGTATAAAAACCTTCCTATTTAATCACTCTATCTATTAAATAAATCGCATCAACATAGGTTTCGTAGTTTTCAAGATCCTTTCATAGTCCCTATGTACGTTTAAACGTACATAGGGACAGCAAAAGCTAATTTGTTTTATTCTATGTAGTGATATAGATGTATATGTGTCTTATGAAGACAGTAAGATATATAAAAACCGCTTTATTTCGCGTTTAGAACAATTTCAATTATCCGTATTTTTCTAGAATTAACTTTTACATTTATATATCACTTTTAACGGTTTAAAACGCGAAATATATTATATTAAACTATGTTTGATATGTGTCCCGATGACCACGACTGCTGCAAAGCTACAAAACGTCCAGTATAATAAATCAAATAATCTTGTAACTAATATTTTGAGTTGAAACGTCGGGCCGAGGTTAAAGATCATTTTCAAATAAGTTTAACTAATATATCGCGTTTTAAGCAGTTAAAGTGTTTTATTTAAATGAATACTACTCGCGTAATCGCGTAAAGACAGTATTTAAACCGTGTTTAATTTATTTTCAGAGGTGTTTTATGGATATATTTACTTTCAGGGTCTGAACTACATGAGCAGGATGCTTCCTCTAACGCATACTCTCTTAGTAATGGGTGACAGAAGTGGACTTACCGCCTATGATCTGAGTAGTGGAGATGTCATACGAAGAGTACTTTTCGGTAAGTTTATGATTCTGTATCTCGTTTATTATTTTTTTGTTGTCGCTTTCAATAAATGAAAAATAAGTATAATGTACCAGAGTACTTGTTCCATTTATATTTTATATTTAAGGGACACTTTTACGTCTAAACGGCTAAACTAATTTCGATAAAGTCTCGATGATAGCGAGTTTTAATTTACTTTATTAATTTGAATTATGATTAAACAATTTTTTAAGGAACGCCATGATGTTACAATACTGTAGTAATGTATATTGTGTAAGTGGATACATAGTGATAAAAAGAGTAGCGAGTTTTTCACCACTTCTAAGCATGCACCACAGCATGGGGATCGCTTGAAATTAGGTGACATAGCCCAGCCAAATAACATCGAATCCAAATGCGGTGTCGACCTTTTTTGATTTTGGACATTCGGCAATCCTCAGACTGCATCCGCAACGCGATTAAGCCTCGCGGTTTTTTTTTTGTTTCATGGAATTTAATAACCACATATCCAGATGAAGTCCAACGTGTTTCAGAAAAATTATAAATGTTAACAATAATAATTATCATATTGTATTTATGTTAATTATGTTAGTCGCCACCGATGGTTGCAAAAAAACTCATTTACTTGAAATTATTTTAATTAAAAATATTACATTTAATTAAATCTAGGTGTCTCCCTGTGCACGATGCACCAGTTCGACGCTTACAATTAGTCTCCTACATTTAATTAAATCTAGGTGTCTCCCTGTGCACGATGCATCAGGTCGACTCTTACAATAATTCTAATTAATATCTTATGTTAAAATGGGTACGGCAACAGTAGCGTCACATACCGATCGCACGGTTATCGAATACGCGCTCTATCAGCAGTTTCCCCGTAGTGGCACAGCTTAGGGCTGTCGCCTAATAGAGTGCAGCTTAGGGCCGGCACATAACATGTTTTAGTAAGCGTTAGTGTTTTGTTTTGAACTTGATTTATTCTGACACCACCATACCACCAATAAACGATGGTCGTTGTTTATTTCCAGGTCAAAGCGACGGCTGTATCTTCGTGCGTCAAATATTGCCATTAAAAGATGCAATAGTGTGCGATTACGCGAATCAATTGAGAATAGTAAGGTTTCCGCTTGTGTCTCGACTTGACGTGAAGAATGAGTAAAGTAACTAATTTCTATTAACTAACTGACTTCGATCCACAATATAATCGATAAAAACACATAAATAATAACAAATAACATTTGGAAGCTATTATTTTTTACATGTACACGATGGCATTATATAAATTAAAAATCGGTTTTAGAATGAAAAAAAAATATGATCGGTTTTTAATTTAACATGCTTTATAAAATTACATATTTAGTACAGCCCGAAGAACCTCGTTTTTTTGTTATAGTGAAGATGTTGGAAATATTTTATAAATAAAGTGTATTTTTTCTAACTTGGCAAAAAACACATCTTCTGAAGGAGGTTGTCTATTTCTTATTAAATTGGGTCCCTAATCTGCTATTCATTCTGGCCGGTAGACAGACAGTCTCGAATCTTCTTTGATTAAAAAAATTGCTTTTATTTATAGAATAGTTATGTAATATGAATCAATTGATTTAAATGTAAAATAACGAAAGAAAATGTTAATTACGATATTTTTCATCTATACTGGAACATCAATTAGAGTGTCATTCGTAGGCCATGTTTGAACCTTTAGTATGACGTCACTCCCTCCATCTGTTAACATCCTCCAAGGTGTGACGTCTTGGGGGCATTTTTAAATAAACACTAAAACACACTAGTACTTCAAAATTCTATAATTAAATAAACTCTATTGTTATAGAAGTACGAATTCATTCATATAGATTATTTCAAACTTTCTGAAACTCTGTCCGATCTATTGTTTTTGCTAAACATTGTCTATTTTGTCTTTTAACATGGCTTCTACGACGATTTTCTTTTACGATAACCATTTAAAACAATTGAAAATAACGCCTATTTGCAATCTCCAAATAAGACTATATTGAGATTTAGTATTGTCTGTCTTTTGTTCAATTTTTTAAATAAACACTTTTAACGGTTTAATAGTAAATATATCCTGTGAATCCGGGTCGTAGTTATAAGTAAATTAATGTACGTCGCGTTTTAAATCGTTAAAGCTGTTTTATTTCAATTTGTCTTTTTTATACAATATTATAGCATGCCTTTAAGCAGTCTAGTTACTGAATAATCAGATTTGGGACTCAGTTTCTTGTTTATCATTTGATTCGATTTGGCAGTTACTTGCCTATATATACGTGCGCACAGAGAATTATAAAACCCATAAATGTATTCCAAGGATCTTAAGACAAAAATAGATCAACAGTGCATCTTGTTTATAAGTTATGCAAGGGAACCACTTCTTTACACACCTAGCGTCCTTTTTGTTCACTGCTTTAATTATATTGTATAACTTTACAGTAGTCTATACCTCTAGTTTGTGTTATTTCTAAACATTGTTAGATCACACACAGTTTTCATATCACATTTTAGTGAGTTTATATTTAGTATTGTAGTTATTTATTTAACTTGTGTCGTTTATTATAGTTATGTGATTTTGAATCATCATCCCAAATGTTACAGCCTGTTCTGAATTTTTACGCACATGTAAAACTAAATTTCCAATTAATTCCAATAATACAAAAATGACTTGAATTACATCACTTCAATTCGGAATTGTGGTATTTTATCGACCGTGCTAATTGTTTTTTTTTTCTTCATTATAGATATACAATTGTCAGGCATAACATCATACAAATACTTTTATAGTGATTAGATGTTACTTTTAGTATAGATTATATTTACCAGCAAAACATGGGACAGTGGTCATTATATTTTAGTGAATCTTATTTTCTGATATAATATTAAAAACAGTGAAGGTAAAGGTCGCGGCGGACTGGGGAACCAATCAACGCTAGCACATGACGCTCACTCGCCCCGCGTCCCTTCGATACCTTATTTTTGCCTTCTGCGCAGGATTCGTTCAGCGCTAAAGATCCGTGCCGCTACTTATCATTATTATATCAAAAAATATGTATTTTTTACTGGTGTGCTGTTCATGGTAATACAATAATAATCAAAAACACCACACTTGTAATATTACAATTAATTTTATTGAGCACAGAACTATTATATCACAAAAACGAGTTGATGTCTTAGATTAAGTAGATGTAACACTGGTACGAAGATTTCTGAAGGCTTTAACTCTTCTAAAATATTTTTCTGGATTGTCTTTCGTATACAATAGAATTTAAGTAATTTATTCACACATATTCCCGCTTTTGTTAAGTTAGAGTAAGAAATATTTTGAATAAATGTTTTGTTATAAAAGTTGTTTTCTGTTTGAATTCGGCCTTAAATCCTTTTTTAATCACAACTTCCAACGAAAACTCCTGGAAAACGTTTTTTTTTGCCACGTGAAGTATTTCGACGAAATTAGATTCCTATAAAAACTGTTCTTGTGAATTAATCTGACAAGACTGACATATAATAAGAATAATTATGTCAAATACACTTATTAGGTATTTAGAACTCAAAGGCAATTTATTCCTGTTTTTTTCACATTTCTCACTGTTTCTTTGCTCTTATTGATAACAGCCTGGTGTTTTATAGCCTAGCATTCCTTGATAAATGATTATTCATCGCAAAAAGGGAAAATAATTTTTCAATTCGTATGTGTAGTTTCCGAGATTAGTGTGTTAAAACAAGCAAACTCTTCAACTTTATAATATTAGATATAAAAGATGGTACTTGATTTTCTGATAAGTTATGTACAGTATCGTCAGTGCACCAGTATGTGATGTAAGAACATGTAAAAGCTAGAGTATTAAAAATCTTGGATGGTTCCGTTTTAAGGGTGATATACTGCTATACTGCTGCTAAGTGAATAAACTTTGGCAAAAACGCGGGTAACGCTGCAGGGCGTAACTAGTAATTATTGTGAAACCTTTCTCGCGCTTACATCCATGGCTTACGTCAAAATATTTTTATTAATCTGTGGCTTATTTTAAATGTGTTTTATCTGTGCTTTTATATTTTGACAGCTGACATTAAACTACAGCGATGAATAAAAGTTTGAAACATAATTGGATTTTCTACCACTCTGAAAGTTTTTGGCCGACTTGTTGGGCACGGTAATTTTTATCGCAAAGTGCATATAGTTTTAGCACTTATTAGAATTTATGTTTTTCAAATTATCTTTTACGTAGCTAACGCGTCTACTTTTAGATTTTGTTACTTAATTCACAATCAGACTTGGAAACATCCACAATGGCCGAGTGAGTACCTATTCTAATAAAAAAACCGCTGAGTAAGCGTGAATATATTACAAGACCTATAAGAATTAGCTAGAATATAAATCGATATTTACGTAATTTCATTCGCTATTATGCGTCATTTACACTAAGCGACCATATTATTGCTATCTCATGAAAATACCTTTTAACCCAAACATTTTATAACGTCGAAATTTTTTTTATTTAACACCATAAATATAGACTTGAAACCACTCAGTAATGTCATATAAAAAATATTAAACGTAATTTCCTCTATATTAAAATGTCCATTAACTTAACTGTAACAGGAAGGTTATTTGAAGGTGAATGTTTCATGCCTTGTTATTAATGCAATGATTAACAAGTACACTTTTACCTTAGCAGTGTGCATTTTGTTACTGAGTCAAAATGCCTTTTAAAAATTGTTAATTAGCTATTAACAATTTTTAAAAGGCATTTTGGCAAAAAAAATTGGCAAAAAAGCTTGTTAAAAGCTAAAAAATTATTTACTTTTTTAATAGTTCATGACTTTTATAACAGCTTTAACTTGTAGGTATATCACCTAAGTTAAGCAAAGACAAAAATGTTTGAGATATGTATTCTTGAATCAACTTCTTATTAAAAACATTTTATAATTGTAAGAAAGTACTTACTGTCAAAATTCTATAGCAACTGACTTTCTATTGTTATTCAATGTTAATATCTCTTCAAATATTGGTAATAAATAAATGAAAATACAAAAAAACAACTCATTATTTGAAAATATGTTCAATTTTTCAGACCTCAAGCTGATATTGCCCTTATAGGCTTAGCCGTGATGGGCCAAAATCTTATACTAAACATGGACTCTAAAGGTTTTGTTGTATGCGCATTTAACAGAACTGTGGAGAAGGTGAGTTTTCAAATAAATAAAATGTTTGCTATGTGAAATTATTTTTGGTCATGTTATAAAGTAATTTTGGTCGTAGGTTGATCAATTTCTAGCAAACGAGGCTAAAGGGACAAAGATAATTGGTGCAAAATCTTTACCAGACATGGTTGCGAAACTGAAAAGGCCAAGGAAGGTTATGCTACTAGTAAAAGGTTTGTATTACAAAAACCTGATAGAAGTATTTAAGTGGTCAATTTTCGCCACTCATTACATTTTGTTTAAATCATAAAATGAAATATGATCCTTCCGTTTGCACCTGATATAGATATATACTATAACCACATTATTTGCATGTTTCACAAAAAATGATTTGTAATAAAGGTCAAATGAAAGGCAAAGTATCTTTATTAAACCTTGAACTCGAATTTCATTTTATTTATTAGCCTTCTTACTTTTTTAACAACACAATAAATTTCTCTTGACTGTCCTTATAGCTCATATACAATTACTAATAGGTTCAATTTCTGGCAAAACAAAAGACAAAATTAATTTGGACAATGAGAGGCAACTTGATCCATGCAACAAATATGTATGATATCACATTTTTGTAATTTTACCTTTATAGCTGGCTTCGCTGTAGATGAATTTGTCAAAAAGTTGTTACCTTTACTCGAGAAAGGTGATATTATTATTGACGGTGGGAATTCTCAATATACTGATACACAACGTTGGTGCAAAGAGTTAGAACCTACAGGCATTTACTACATCGGTATGGGTGTAAGTATCAATAAAAAAAGAGTAGAATCTAAAAGAATGATGTAAATAAAAGATTCTGCATATGCTTACTGTGATTGCAACATCTTCAAAAAACAAGATTTTCCTCTTGACTTCAAAAAATAATACTAAAAACACTAATAATTGTGATAATTTATCGGAAGTAGTATTACAATTTCGTTTGATAGTTGACAAAGAAAGAACTTTTTATAAAGTTACATATTTTATTATGTAGGTCAGCGGTGGTGAAGACGGTGCTCGGTACGGACCGTCTTTAATGCCTGGTGGTCATAATGCTGCGTGGCCACATGTAAAACCCATTTTCCAAGTGAGTTTTCCTACCTAGATGTCGGTTCTCCATTCAGTTGATTGTCGGTTAGTAATAAGTTAAGATATGTTAATGTCTGTGTAAAATTTTAGGCGATTAGTGCAAAAGTGAACAATGAGCCATGCTGTGATTGGGTGGGGGAAAATGGTGCTGGTCATTTTGTAAAGATGGTACACAACGGCATAGAATACGGTGACATGCAGTTGATATGCGAAGCATACAATCTCATGAAAGATGTTTTGGGTAAGTACATGCTTAAAGACTTGTTTTAATCCACAAACATTAGATTTGTATCAGAAACGTAGTTATGTATTTATATGTATTGATTTCCTCAGAAAGGAATATAGTGCAACAAGTTATGAAATAAAGATTTTTAAGTCACTGTAAATAATATTGCTATCCTAATAATAATATTGAAAATAGTTTGAACATATTAATTCGCTATACATGTATCCTGCTAGGTTTTCCTTAAAACATATTCACACAAAATAATTTATATCCCGTTAAGTAATTACAGAGTTTGTTTTTTAGGTATTGAACAAGATGAAATGGCGAGAGTATTTGAAGAATGGAACAAGGGAGAGTTGGACTCTTTCTTAATAGAGATTACAAGAGATATTCTGAAATTCAAGGACAATGATGGTAAGTTTTTTGGACATTTATTTCTGTGTTTTAAAACTTTTTATTAGAAGTTTATGTAATCAAGTTGTAATAATAACGACTTTTTTATATAATCGTTGGAATATTATTTTTTTATTAAATTTTGCACTGGTTGCATTTTTCTGTGTATAATTAAAAAAAACAAAAAAGGAGGTTTCTCTATTTAAATACACATATATATATATATGTTTTTAAATGTCACTTATATAATGAATAGTAAAAGCATGTGATACTTTTACTGGTAACTATTGCTATCTGTGTATTTTATAAGGAAAGCATACCGTAAATTAGATAACATATATAACTATGTTATGTTAATTCTTACTCTAAAAATAGTACAAATTTAATTTTCGCCTAAGTTAATTGTGCATTTTTTTTCCTGCTTCTTAAAAATCATGTTTTTTGTTATTAGGCCACTCTGCTTCTAGCAGCCTCATATTATAGATGAATTATTCTTCATTTCAGGAAAGTACCTATTACCGAAGATCCGTGATGCAGCAGGTCAAAAGGGCACTGGCAAATGGACTGGTATCAGTGCTTTGGAGTATGGTGTACCAGTAACTCTAATAGGCGAAGCTGTCTTTGCAAGATGCCTGTCTGCACTAAAAGGTTTGTTCCAATCTTCTTGTTGCTGTGAGGATATTATTTTGTTGTGACTAAACAACCTCTACCCCAGAGTAAGTTTAAAAAATAAATTTTCCTCTCCTGATAGCTATTTACTATTTTAACATCTAAACTAATATATTAAGCTGAAGAGTTTGTTTGTTTGATCGCGCTAACTACTGGTTCCAATAGAAAAAATCTTTAGTTGGTTAGAAAATTTATCGAGGAGGGTTATAATAGGCTATAAAACATAGCGCTGTGACTAATGGGAGAGAGGAAACATGCAAGAATGATTCCTTTAAATAAAACACTTTAACGGTTTAAAACGCGATATATTAGTTAAACTTATTTGAAAATGATTTTTAACTTCGGCCCGAAGTTTTGGACACTTTGCAGCAGCCGTGGTCACGGGGAGACAAATAAGTTTAACTAATATATCGCGTTTTAAAACGTTAAAGTGTTTTATTTAAATGTGTACTCGCGTAAACTATAGACAGTATAGAATTATTCCTCCTTAAATAATCTAAAAAAATATCCGCGACACTATTTGTCTATATTTTATGATTAACGTGCAAGAACAACGGGAAGGGAACGGACGGGAAGACCGATGTCCTCAGTGACAGCTTAAATTTTAAAAGATGCCCCTCGTCATCTCTTGCAAAAACAAATTTAGATGCCCAAAATAACTATTCTACGCGGACGAAGTCGCTGACACAGCTAGTTGTAAATATATTAGTGTTGGATTTTATTCACAGTAATTATGATCGCTTATTTATTTTAATAGATGAACGTGTCAAGGCGAGTAAAGTTTTGCCCGGCGCGACAGCAAAATTCTCTGGTGACAAGAAAGAATTCCTTGAACATTTGCGTAAGGCACTGTACGCGAGCAAAATCATCTCCTATGCCCAAGGATTCATGTTGCTTAGAGAGGCTGCTAAAGTGAGTAGATGAAGTGAGATATATTTCAATTCTATTTAATTCTAAGCGTTTTCAGAAGGTCACAATATTCAGATACTATCTGTAGTTTACGCGAGTAGTAAATATTTAAATTGAACACTAACGTTTAAAAACGTATAAATAAAGAGAAGGTCATATATATTTCTCCCCATGACCACGGTCGCAGCAAGGCTTCCGAAACGTCGGGCCGTAGTAAAAATAATTTTCAAATAAGTTTAATTAATATATTTCGCGTTTTAAACCGTTAAAGTGTTTAAACACAATAAATTAATCAACTACTGTGTGTTCTCTTATCTTGTTCAAAAAAGCAATACTATTTTATACATACAAGTTGTGTGCCCCCGATAAAAACATGTCATATTTCTTTTGAAAATATTCTATCTAATAGATCTATTCTAGATTATCATGGCATTATAATTTGTTTTTCGTATTCAAAGAATAACTTAATTTTCAGGCGAACAAATGGAATCTCAACTACGGTAGCATTGCGTTGATGTGGCGTGGTGGATGCATCATCAGAAGTGTCTTCCTCGGTAACATCAAGGTAAGAGAAAATGCCAATATTAAACTAATTAAACAATTAATTTATCACCAAATTGTGTTTTTACTTGAATTTGCGGTAGTCGTATTCGTTTAATATATAATCCAGTGTCTCGTAAAGTGTTTTTAGTAAATCAGTGTAAACCTTGTGAGAAAATCACAATTTCATGTAAATTGTGTGTTTGTTTACTAAAAATGTCAAGTTAGAAAAAATACACGATGTTTATTATTTTTAGAGAAATTGGTTTCGATCTAGCAGGACCACCACTTACCTGTAAAGAATTAAAAAATTTCACTATTACATATCTACTTTAATTATGTTAATAAAACGATTGAACAGGACGCGTTTACTAAGAACCCGAACTTGACGAATCTGCTGCTGGACCCGTTCTTCACGGAGAGCATCAGCAAGTCCCAGAACTCGTTGCGGCAAGTGGTGGCTCAGGCGGCACTAACTGGAGTGCCAACGCCGGCCTTTTCATCCGCGCTCGCCTTCTACGATGGATACCGCGCTGATGTGTTGCCGGCTAATATGTTGCAGGTAAACTATAGAAACGGCCTCGGCCGCTAAATGGTTAAACCTGTTGCCTAGCATTGTGTCAAGTGCGTTAAGATATTGTAGCTTCGATTCCCGGGGAAACAATACATTATTTCAGTCGGACCGGGCACAGAATTCTGATCAACTACTTGCCCGCAAATAAAACCGTTTAGTGAAACGGACACAGAAAAGCCCCATGCCCCAAGGGGAAAACTAAATTTCACTAATCTATATAAAATCATTATCATTACCTCTAACAGTCCAAATGTCCAAAGCCAGAATAGGTCGACTAAATACTTTACGACACTGCCAGAACTTGAAGCGGCAACGGCGTTTCGTGCTGTTGCTCTAACCAATTGAGCTACCGTGTCAAAAATTGACAATGACATGAAGGATAGGTTGGCTGAATTGGTTAGAGCAACAACAATATGCTGTCGACTTATCTTGGCTTTGGATATTCGGAAATTCACAGACTAAAATCGAAACGCGATTAAACTTCACGGCTTTTTTCATCTGTGGGCTGCGAATCGTGAAACGGACGGAATTTTCGATATTCCTACTCATTTAATAGCGAGATTTCCAGACGAAGTCCAACATGTTTCAGAAAAATTATAAATAGATTTGAAAAATGTTGGACCCGGTGAGGAACCCACGACCCGTTGCCACCATTACAAAATGAACCCGTCGAATTCGATCGTTCGATTAAAGCCCTGCCAGTGTCGTTTTTTCAGTCTAAAATTGATTTTTTTTTCACTTATAAGTTTCGATTTTCGTGATCCTTTCAATATCTTATATGATTGTCCTCTTTACAGGCTCAGAGGGATTACTTTGGCGCTCACACTTATGAACTGGTGAACAAACCCGGCGAATTCGTTCATACGAACTGGACGGGTCACGGGGGCAACGTATCCGCTTCCACGTACAACAATTAGATACGTTTTATACAATTGACCACGTTCAAGTTTCGATGAGAGCTTGGTGAAGGGCTTTTGGGAGTTGTGCTGTGGTCTTATAAGATTTGTCACCCCATACCTGATCTGGGGAATGCTCACACTATAAATTATACTATAAAAAAATAACTTTATACGTATGTCCTGGTCCTATCTCAGAATAAATATTTAAATGTTTTCTTGTTTGCAATATTAAATAATACAACTGTAACAAATAATTGATAATATTGCATTAATTTCAACCAAATTTAGTTCTTGCGATCATCAAAGATATATGTCGTGGACATTTTTTTAATCATTTAAAGGGGGAAACATCTTATGTAATATTTTTGTTTTTGTTTTTTTTTTAAACCGTTTGCGTACGCAGCAGCGTGGTGTTGTTGGCTAAAGCGTTCCTCGATAAGTGTTCTAGCCATCACAAAAATATTTTTTTCAATTCGAACCAGTACTTCCTGAGATTTGCCCGTTCAAACAGACAAACTCTTCAGCAATATTAATAATATAATCTATACGATTGTGACGAGAAATGGGCATTTCCCTTATCAGCATTTTAACCCTTATGGAGGGGCTCCAATGAAGTTTTTGTAACGGACCTTTAAGGCGTAAGTGCCACCGATGTGTCTTATACGTTATTCTTTATATACAAAGTAGAAATATCTTGTTATTTTTCGAAACCAGTTTTTGTTGTGTTATACTAATTCAAGCGTTTCTAGTTTTGTTCTTGATTTGTCTGTTTCGCGGATTATAAAAGATCTTATTAGTTTTGAATAAGAATATTGTTATATTTTCGAGCGCTTTAAAAACATTCCTTAGGCTTAGGTACAGGTATAAGGCAAAGGTGCTAATTCTTCTATAGATATATGTCTGTTCTTCCATTTCAATACGCAGTATTGTTTAGTTTATTACAGTCGTCCGAAGTCTACTAATTTAGAATTCCTTTAACTCAATTTCACATAACTTTTTACTATTTAAAAACACATTTTTTTGTACAATTCCTATTAGCATTTATTGTCATACTTCCGCATTTTTTTTATTTTGACATAGTTAAAGGGTCCAAAATAAGTTCTATGTTTTTTATACTACTATTTTTATAACTGATGTTTCTAGATATAAATAAATGGGGTATTTTTGTAAATTGTTGTTTTACTTCACCGATACTATTAAGTTCCCTTATCCCACGTACTAATAAGTAGTCAATCTTAATTAAAACTTCAATTTTAGAAAGGAACATATTTGTTCGTCCACGTATATTTATTTACAATTATAAAACACTCAACATTTGCTGTGATGAATCCGAAACGTTGGGCCGCAGTTAATAAATCGTAAGTAAGTTAACTTAGTGATTTCCATAACCGTTAAGTGTTTTATTTGAATGTGTAGTACTCGCATAAAAATTACACAGTTGATCAGATTTCTGTGTTCTGCCCGACCGAAACAATTTATCGTTCTCCTTGATACGGACCCGGTACTTATTAGAAGGGTAAACAGCTGTTACGTAACGCGTGACAGTGTAATTTTTCGTTGCCATTTGAAAGAATCGTTCCACTTAGATAAGAATAAAAAAATAATATTTCCAGTTTATCTTGAGTATTAGCATATTCTATATCATTGTCTACGTCTCAGGTACGTTAGGAGTCATACATATGTCAAACTGCAACATATTCTATTAATGTAAAAGTTAGTCGCGTGCTCGTCAAAATGTTTTGTGAGTTCATATGTATTGTGAAATAGAATTCAACTTACATCACATAATGGTGTATGGTTTATTATTCACAACGGTTCTATTTGTTGTATGGGCGCCATGCCTAAGACGGGGGCTATGGGCGAAACCTGGCCCAGTGTACGCAAGAGATAGGAAGAACAGGGTCTTCGTAATCACCCCAACGTCTACCTGCTGTAAAAGAAGGTGTCCCGACTGTTAAATTTACCAGTGAATCAGTATTAGAAAAATTAGAATTGTCTTTTTAAACGATACAATCTACATAGACTTGATCAAACGATTTTTTGTAAAGTATTATTAAAGAGATATTGTCTATAAAGGATTAATTATTTGAAGATTTTATTGTATATATAAAAAGACATGTACACCTATTGTTTTTATTGTTTTACCACAGCAGCGAAGAAGAAACGCTTTGACGGGCCCCATTTGGTGTAATGGTAGCAATATACGGCTAATAATCAACGGGTCGGGGCTTCGAACCCCACCGGGTCCAACATTACAGCACGGTATAAAGATAAGAAAGCCGTGAAGTTTATTCACGTTTCGATTTCAGTCTGTGGATTTCCGAATTGAACATTGACTAGAATTATTAGAGTACAACATATGTATCGTAGGTATGCAAAATTAACATGCAGGTATTGGAACCCGTTATGTGACCGGTTCGGTAAAATGATCTACATGAGGATTTAATTTGTTCTTTAACACAAAGCAGTCGTTTGTTAGACAATAAAACAGCGAATATAAATTAAAGAAATAAATTTAATATAGATTTCAGAAAATACAACGCAACTATAAAATATAATTATACTAAAATGGATTAATACCCGTTCAATATGTACTTAAGATTTAAATGACTAATAGGAAACATTTTACGTTAACTAAGTTCAATAAAATACTTTGCGTTATGAAATACAGAACACATAGGTTAAGATTATTGAATCGTTATTGTACACTACGCTTCACGAACTTCTCTAATACATTTAACACCGAACATTTAGTTTATATATTTACTTAGACTTATGAGATGAAGATATTGGTGATATTATAACGCAATAGGACGCTTTGATCAAATAAAGACATCTACAAATTTTACATAATTGCGTGATTGCTGAAAATCATTTAACGACTAATAAAATGGAGATGTGTATTATGTTTGGATGAAAACCCAGAGGGGTCGAACACGTGACTTTCTACGTTAGTATTGTGCGATAGACAGCTTTGGCTTTTTTTTTGAACTACCCTCATCTGCTCTGTAATATTCGGTATGACAAAGCAGATGACGATAGTTACGATCTTATCTAAGCTAAAATTACACATTTAGATTACACTTAAAAATGATTACACGAAAAGCATTATCATCCCTTTTAAAGCTAGTAAATTTCTTTTCTCTCACTTCTGGTTAAAGGCCATCCATTTTCATACCTTAAAGCTTTATTTTTCATGTTCACTAAGATGTCTTTCATTTCGGGTTACCTACTTAAAAGCTAAGCGTATACAACATTACTAACACATGAAGAAGTTGGTAAAGGGGAATACGATACGATTTTACATTTAATAAGAGGAATATTAAAAAAAAACAAATTTGAAATGATGGATTTTTGCCTCCATCCCTCCCTACTCGCCTATACGGACAGATAAGCACAAACAACTAAGCTAAACACTACACGACAATGTTAGACGAACAACACCTGCCAAACGTGGCGTTTGTACCTTTAAGAGGTACTTTAGCTACGAGTAAATATATTATGGGATCCGATTCCTTACGATATGAACTGTACGTTGCGTTGTTGATATGCCATCTCTTGTAGGTTTACCTTCCATAAAATGTTTACTCGGAGGTCAAATTAAAAAATAACTTTGTACAAAATTATAGCTTATACTATGACATCTACCTAACCCTAAAATTATTAAATCTATAAGTGTGATAACGGAAAAAAGGTTAAAAAATTAATTAGGACGGTAATAGATAAAGAAGGAAAATCGAATTGTGCGTGTTTCCTCTTATAATTATCATAAATAAAAAATAATGTAAGAAAAATATGTTTGAAAAGGATACATAAGTTGGAAATGATTTAATACAAATTATAAAATTAATATTCTAAAGAGATTACATCTAGTTGTGCGTGTCATCCAATAGTGGAAATAGCTATACAAATAAATAAATAAATCCGAGATTATGTAATATTAAAATGTAATGGTAAAAAACGTAAAAAATAAATTGATTGAAAATAAAAAAAGAATAAAGATATCCTAATAATCTGTCATTTTTATTTTATATGTTAATAAAATAAAAATGACAGATAAAATATATGGACGGTTCAAAGCATACGAAATAAATAAATAAATGAATCTTCTAAAATAAATTAATTCATATATATATTTTATTGTGCGTGATTGTCCTAATATTACAAGAGCCCTAAAGTATAAAAATAAATAAAACAGCAATTAAGTGGAAATTGAAAATTATACAAAAAGTATGATTAAACCGAAAATGAATAAAAGATAAGACCGAGTAAGTAAAATAACGGACTTACTTACTAATTAAATCTATATTTGTGCGTGCCTCTTCCAATAGTTTATGCCAAGTAAAGATAGAAAGCAACGGCCACCAGCGTAAGACCGACATCGATAAATGAGGAATAATTTTGAAATAGATTTACTATTTGGTACGGAGTCTTGACGACCCGACGGTGTGTATTCGTGGTGTTATCTCATTTATCGAGTGTTGTTACACCTGGGCCTTTTGTTTTTTGAAATTAAATCCTTCCAGATCATTCCACGAATTTCGTAAGCGTGCTTCGTGGAAAAACAAAATTTGCCAAATTAAAGCTGAGGAAGGGAACACAATAGACCACGTTGCAAATAAGAATTTTGGTAGCCGAAGAAGTTTAATAACTAATAAAAGCCCCCCCAACCCCCACGACCATTCAACCCTTGGATGATCCCCCAGATCTTAGTTAAAACCCGGAGGTCTACTTCACAATGTCGCAGCTTCAAAATGTTTAAAGAATTTAAAAATCGAATAAAATGTATATTAAAAAATTTAAAATGCGTTCGACGAAAGAAAACTATTGGGTTATTCAATTATTAAACAGGTAACAGGTAAAAGGTAAACATTCTGAAGGTGCTATGCAATAGATATAATAAATATAACTGGAATTGAGTGAAAGAGAACGAACTACAAGATTAAATAGAAAAATGCACGGATCTTTTTAAAATCTCAGAAAAATTTCTATGTACTGAAAAAAAGCAAAAGACACTAGTCATCCTTGAAGTTGTAAAAAGACTAAGACAATATAATGAAGATTCAAAATAATTTCCTCTAAATAACATTTTTTTTTCACAAATCTTTCATGAAAAGAATATCACAGTCCAAAAGTTCTAGCAATACGACTAAATAATATAAACTAGGCGATCCGGTGGCTGATCTCTGTAGCAGTTGCCAGAAAAATAATAAAACTCTAAATTATAACATTATAACGGCAACCAGCCCAGAAAACTAAAAAAAAGTAGTTTGAACAAAATTCCTTAAAACTTAAGAACTTCAGAAATCAGCCACAGAGCCTCACATATTTATTTTAGGGTTACAATCAGTGTTTAAATAGTAATATTAATGATATGAAACTGTACAACACAAAAGTTATGAATGAAATTGTTAGCTCTTATTACTCTTTGGCACAATTTACTATTAACTAGCTGTGGCCGCGACTTCGTCCGCGTATGATTTTGTGGGCATCAAAATTTGTATTTGCAAACCTCCTCCACATTTAATAAATTTTAACTGTCACCCACGACGTCCCTCGCATCCCGTCGTTGTTGCATGTCTATCTTAAAAATAGACATAACATACTGACATTTTTTTAGATCGTTTGAAGATAAACCTACAAGGTGAATAATTTTCCCCGTTTTTTCCCCATATTTCCCACTGTTTCTTTAATGCTATTGGTTGTACCGTGATGTTTTATAAAGCCTTCCCCGATAAATGCAACCAACAGCAAAATTTTAATTCCAACCATTAGTTCATGAGATTTGCACGTTCAAACTTCAAACAAACTAATTCTTCAGCCTTATAATATTAGTATAGATAATAATTGTCTATGTAACTTCTATATGTTGAACTTACACAGGTACTTTGTTACCTAACACTATTGAAGTTATATATGTAGTTATAAACATTGTGTGGCTTTTTGTACATATTAAGGACTTACAAGATAAATAATTTACTATGTGAGCAAATACGGTAATCTTAATTGTATGATGTCTATAAAAGTTTTAGTTCTGGACGCACTTCACTAATACACTCCTTCCGTTTAACTCCTGGCACAGTTACAATTAAATTGATATTTTGACTATGGAACTTAAATACATTAAAAAAATAATAATTTAATTTAATGACACACAACTTGAACGCGTATGGTATAGCGTTAGTTTGAATGTGTGTGTTCGATTTTTGAATTTGTTAAACGAATTTTTTGACGCGTCAGTAAATTCCATATTCAAATTCAATTCAATTGTTTTTCCCCAACATTCCCTTGCTGCGTTCTGGATCCTGGATGCTTAGAAACACCAGCGACAACATCGGGAGGATTGCTCCTCCTCTAGACTTCATTCAACATCGTCAGCGCTTCTTGGTCTTTCAATGGCGATGTCTGTATTCTCTTGGACGGAAGTATGACGCGTTGGTACGCTGGAGCTGGCTGCCGATTCTTCAGGGTCCGTGCTGGATGCAGCTTTGTTCCTACAATGGAAACTTTTATTGTAGAAAATCCAAATGTATAAACGCCTTAGGCTGCGTACAGATTAACGCGTAACGCCGCTGCACGATATTCGTACAAAGAATGAACATAGCGTTTGTACATTGCTTTCGAGTGCCATAAAACACTAAAAAAAAGTAACGCGTGACGCTATACACGACCTACGGTGTTTATTATAACCGCAGCCTAAGCAAAGCGCTAAAGCCGAACTAAGCTTACTAAATGTCATTAGCATATAGTTACCCTCTTATTAAAATTTTAAGGCGAACTTAGAACTCGATTGTGAATGAAAGGATCTTTTTTATTTATATTGAGCTTTCTTTTAACATTTTTAGAAAGTGGAATTCTTCTTTTTGTATAAAAACGGGCGGCAGGCGCGAAACGGCGCCTACCGCTGCGCTCCGGCCTTGTATCTGGTCTAGCTCCTAAACTACCCCCGTTATGAGACTATTTTTGAAAACAAAAAATAAATTGAAGTGGTCCAAATTTGAGAAAATCGAGTTTAAAAAATAAAAATATTTTTTTTACACAAAAAAAAGAATTCCACTTTCTAAAATCGTCAAAGAAAGCTCAATAACTAAACTATAAAATTCATGTATGATTTAATTTTATTTTACATTTTAAATATTTATTTTTTTTGGAATACAAATAGCGCATTCCTGCTGTAGAGTCAAAACTTCATTAGCCTCTAAATCGATCACAGAGTAAAAATATTGATTGTCTAGGTCGAGGACCTATATAGGTATAACATATTAAAATATTACTAAATTCTGAAGCATCAACATTTTTTACCTGTCCGCTTGGCATGGAATACCCCAATAGTGTAATTTATGCTTTCGCCACGTGATTCACTCCGAAAAGCACTAGACTAAAATGACGAGACATACGAAACAAGTACTAATAACTATTGCAGAATTCGGATATGTTAAATTCGAAAAACGAAGTTTCGGATGACGAAAGAACATTTTTAAAGATATACAAACTAATAAGTACCTTAGTTCACCTAAAACACATATAGCGTGAATTTATCTAAAATTTCAACCAGATAGCAATTACAGCTCATAACTAAGTTGTGTTTGAAACTCGATTTTTAAATACCGCCCGCAGCGCGATAAATATTTCGGTACTTTAAAAATTTCAGCCGAAAATAGTTACGCGATAGCAATCAAATTGTGTAAGCAAGTTTAGGCTGGATTTTTTTGCTTGATGCATTTTCGCCGATCAAAGCAAACAACATTTTATTGATAGAAAAGGGTTTTATGTAAAGCGCTTAATTAATCCGCCGGTTTATCTCCTTCATCCCATGTTAGAATAAATAAAATAGTAATAGCTTGCTAGTAATAGTAATATGCTTTAACATATTCCACAAAATACTGTCTGTAGTTTACGCGAGTAGTACACATTTAAATAAAACACTTTAACGGTTTTGCACGCGATATATTTTAGTTAAACTTGTTCGAAAATTATTGATTGATGCCTGTCAGCAGCCGTGGTCACGGGGAGACGGCTGCCGCAAAGCATCCGAAACGTCGGGCCGTAGTTAAAAATATTTTTCAAACGAGCTAATTAAAATATGTATATCGCGTTTTAAACCGCTGAAGTGTTTTATTTAAATATGTATCTACAAAATTCTTTATCAAATATTTAGTAGTTATATTGTCTTCTACAGCGCGGACATCTATTCTTCTAATTTTAAATAATTCTTTTTTACTCAAAAAGAATGATTTAAAATTCTCCTACGATTAATTTTACAAATAAAACGGAAACACACAATGAGGATAATTTTCCCCGTTTTCCTCTTTTCTATGGGACGTAACTTGATTATTATATGTCTCAAGCCTTCCTCGATAAATGCTTTAACCTACACAAAAATATTCATTTCAGATTAGTAGTTTTTGAGATTAGCGCGTTCAAATAAACTTTTTGGCTTTTTGACATTAGTATAAATTTCATGTGTAATGCAAGCTTTTTATCTCTCGCGAGAATAAAATATGATTATATATTAGATGACAAACTATGATTGCCCTCTCGATATTATACATTTCTGCCAATCAGAGCAGACAATTATTTTGTACAATATATGTACGTAGTAGTACATTTTGTACAAGATTACCTTATCCTACCCGAAGCAAGAACTGACCGTTTTTTAATTAATAGAAAAATATTTTTCGGGATAAAACCTGTCTGGCTTTCAACGTTCACTTATATATATAAAGTTTAAGTCTGGAAATGATATGGCAACCCTTTCCACTAAGAAGAGCTAAACACATCACAGAGCTAGTGATCTTCACTACATCTATCTAGAATGAGAGTATGCCATTTACAAAGCTACATGAAAATCTCTGTGTAAATGGCAACAAATCTAAGCATTCTTGCCTCATGAAGAACATCAGCCAGCCCCTTTTTTGTCATCCATCCAACCTCGAATGCCAACTCGAAGAGCTGAAGATCGAGCTGATAAAGTGAAGTCATAACTTACGTTTCTAAATCTACAAAATAACTAAGGGTCTCCAATTAAAACTAAACAAAAATAATGTTATTTGTTTATAATAAAAAAGTTAGAAATATAATTTGTTATAACAGAAAGTAAAATTACAGTCAAATACTTCCGTCGAAAATTTTATGAATCTATATTCGATTTAAAAAACACTTCTCGTCGTCTTCAAAATTGATTGTATTCGTAGTCAAAAAATATTTTTAAACTAGCAACGTGTTGACTATCAAAATGGCAATAAGAGAAATGATCCCAGTTAATGCATAATTACTACCTACCTGTTTCCTAGTATCTTGTTCTTCTTATCGCTTTTTTCACTCAAACTTGGACTCGGTTGCCTATCTAACTGCTATGAAAAGAAATAATAAAATTAGATTTTTCATGATTATAGAATAATTTAATAGAGCTAGACTATACATACTGTGTAATTGTGCTAACCGCCACTGTAGATAAATGGTTTAACGTGTTGCCTAACATTGCAAGAAGCGCGAGAGTTTCCGAATTCGAATCCTAGGGAAACAATAGATTGTTTCGATCAGCCAGGGAACAGAAGTCTGATCAACTACTTTCCCGTGAAAGAACAGATCATTGTAACTGAGTCAGAAGTGTCTTCGGGAAATGCGTCATGAGAAACAGGATTTCGCTTTTGTTTAGCTTATAAACGAGTTCGAGAAATATGAATAAACAACATGAACAAAAGCTAAAGCCACAGCAAACGAATATCAAAGCCTTTTTGAATCAGAGAATAAGCTGAATGCAGTGCATACTAACAATGGTACTTTATATTTTTATCTGACACTAGCCAATCGATATTTATTTCTGTTTAACCTTATATATAATAAAAATAACGTCTCGACCAAAACAATACGTTTTTTGTCTTGGATTCGAACGCAGGACCTCTCGTTTAACGTTAGACAACATTTTTTAACCATCTATACGCAATAGAATGTATTAAAGTGTTATACAAATCTTTAACGGTTTAAAACGCAACCTGAACGGAATGATTAATAAATAACGACCCGACATTTGGATGCATAACAGTCGTGGTTGCAGACAAACGTCAGGTCGATGTTAAAAATTAATTGACCAATATATGTAGCGTTTTAAGCCGTTTAAATTAAATTGCGCCAAGCACATTACATATTTTTACAAAATCGTTACAAAAGTTTGGTGAAAAATACTTTTTCTCAAATTGTCTAACTTTAGTTTCAAAAATCGAATTTATGACTCACATTGTCACTTTGTATACAACTTACCTGGCTTGCATACATCGCAGCGTCTAACTGTGACTGACTGTAAACGTTTCCCATTTTTGAGAGAGGTGGGTTTTTGAATGAGTAGGAAAACGCCAAACCACGTTTCAAGGAAGCCCTAAAACAAAGGCATATTTTAGCTGCGACTTAACAATCTAATTAATAAAAAGAATGAATTAGAGAAAAAATAACATGTTTAGTATATAGTCGATTCAATTGTTTTTGAAATATATAAAACACATTTTAGATTTAAAACATGAAAACGTGCGTTATGATCGTGGTTCCCGCCTATGTCACATATTTTATCAATCTGCAGTTAGTAAAAATTATATTTAAACAGCTAAAACAAGCTTAAAAAGTAATGAAGCAATACTTTTCTTATTGTCTGCCGTTTACCCGAGTAGTACATTTAAATAAAACACTTTTAACGGCTTTAAGTCGCTTGCTGCAAAACATTCGAAACGTCGGGCTGTAAAATAAATTGTAAGTTAACATTTCGCGTTTAACGTATTTTATTTAAATATGTACTACACTCGTAAACGTTCCTTTTTTGAATTTAAAATTGTTATTATGATTATTTACAATGTAATAACGTAAGTGCATTATTTAAAATTAAATTGTATACTTTATATGAACCACGATAAGGTTCAATTTTCATTAACATACCTGGTAGGACTAGGTGGCGGGTAGCTACTTCCTCTGTGATCTGGTGTCAAGTATTGGCTAGCAGCTAAACGGTTCCTTTGCAGCAATTCTTGATGGGACTGATAGAGCCTCTCAGAAGCTGATGGTCCGGGACTACTATAATTTGGTTATTAGATCATGATAAAGAACTTTATACCTAATGAACTTTATATCTCGTTCAAGTGTTAGCTATACTCCGAAACTTTTACCTCTGGGTGATAGTTGGCTGTTGGCCGAAAGCGAAACTCCTCAATTTTCGAAGAATTAATTCTTTATTAAATCTCTGTGATGCCGTCCATATGGCGAAACGTCAAAAACCTCTCTGTACTGGCGAACCCGAAAGAAATAAGCTAATTGCCTGAAGCTTAAAATTTATTTATTATATTTTTATAATTGACATTAAAAATACATACAAACCTAAAATTTAAACCCTTCTACCGCCGAAACCTACTTTTTAATATTAAATAATCACTTTTCATCTTCAATACCTACACTCAAAAAGCTCTACGAACTTACTAGACTATTTGAAATGTTTCAAACTATTCTTAATCAAAAATATACTTAATTACTTAAAGATCCTATGAGTAGACACCAGAAAGTTTTACCAACCCTACCGCCTATATGTACCTACAGTATTATACTTAGTAGTCATATTGATTGTGTGTGTTAAAAATGTACTTAAAGTACGCAAATTCAAAATAAGAACTACCACAACAAATAACATTTACTTGCTGTGGTAGTTCTTATTTCAAATTTTGAGTTCTAATTTTAAATTTCGAACAGCAAATTTATTTAAAAAGAGTTATTATTGTTCGCTGTTTTTAAATAAAAATATGGCGTGGGTAATGTTTATAAACATTTTATATACCTGAATGAAAGCGTAATAGTTTCTGGTCGCAAATCTGGGTGACTTCTAAGGACCGACACATTGTTCTGCGGGTGGGGCGATAAAGAGTGTGGTGACTCCGGCGCAGGTGTAACGTGAACGGTTAACCCGTCCGCTACCTACAAAGCAACTTAGCAATTGAATACTAACCAAAATTAGAAAATAATTCAGAATTTATGCTTAATTTAACAACCTGTTAAAGGCATTTTATTTAACTTAAATGTGCACGAAAGTAGCATTTCAATGATATGGTGGACTATTAATTATTATAATTCTTGAAAATCAATAAACATTTTATAAATTTATTGCAGTGATGCCTGAAAAAAATCATTTTAGATTGAAAAAAATGACACACAGGGAGGACAGAATAGCATCCACGGTTTCGTGTGTTCAAAATTGAGCTATCGTGTCCTACACGTAGTTAAATTCTCAACTACTAACCTTAATTAATTAAATATTAAACAAAAGACTATATGTTACATCAATCTAATCTTAATATGAGGCAGAGTAGCCTAACTACAATTTTATGTCGAATTATTTATATTTTATAGTCTAAAAATTTTAATCTAAGTATCTTAGAGCAGAGTAACCGAAAATTGTTAACATGTCTTTTACACAAATAATAGTACAAATAAATTTTCGCCCGAGTTTATTGCGCATTTTTTCCTTCTTATTGAAAATCATTTGTTTTTTGTTATTAGGCCACTCTGCTTCAGCCTCACGAATTGGTAAATGGTCCACGAAAATACGATAAAAAAAAAAAACATTTTTAATATAATTCAATACTTGAGTTTGGAATAATTTTATGAATTCTACGAAGTTTTGCTGTATACGTAGATATGGATAAATCAAAGCCTGAAAAATGTACTGAATAGGTATAGGAGTTATTTGGTAATTACCAGGGGGTCTAGTGGCGTCGCTGCTTCATTTTCATTCACCACGTTCACAGTGATTGATGTTACCGCTGAAAACGAAGCGACCGGTAAATTGTACGTAAAATGATCCTCAAACATTTTGAAGGAGAATATATCTTTCAGATAAATTCTCCTTCATCATCATCGTCATAAAAATATGCATGAAAATATATTGAATTCAATGTCTTTATAAAACCTGCCGTTGTTATTGGAAAATTTTAATCGCGGTTTCATTGTAAATCATTTGACATGAGAATATAACAACAGAGTTTATATACTGTCTATAGTTTACGCGAGTAGTACACATTTAAATAAAACACTTTAACGGTTTAAAACGCGGTATATTAGTTAAACTTATTTGAAAATGATTTTTAACTTCGGCCCGACGTTTTGGATGCTTTCCCCGTGACCACGGCTGCTGCAAAGCATCCGAAACGTCGGGCCGAGGTTAAAAATCATTTTCAAATAAGTTTAACTAATATATCGCGTTTTAAACCGTTAAAGTGTTTTATTTAAACAGAGTCTATGTCAGTAGTTCTCTTTGAGAAATGAAAACATTTATTGCGTGAATAATATTTTATTGCGAAGATATCAGGCGCTTCGGGGTAGAGCAACAGAGGCAAGCGAATGACAATCCAATAAATTGAAATATAGGAGACACTGGAAATTTCAATATATTGTAAGCGGTACTTAGAATCATTAAAAATTAATCTGTCACTCGCTCTTTCGTTGATGAAGTAACTAAGTCAAATGGAGGAAGGCAGACTTCATTTAACGGTAGCAATGTATGGCTAACAATCAACGGTTCGTGGGTTCCAACTTGTCGATTTTGGACTTCGTCTGGAAATCTGGATGAATGATTGAAATATCGAAATTCCATCCGGGTTACGAACCGCCGTCCACGAATGAAGAAGTGAAGCTTAATTACGTTTCGGTTTCAGATTGCGGATTTCCGAATATCCAAATGCAACATAGGTCGACAGAGCGTCTTAATTGAATATTATTGGTGGGACATTTCGCATAGCGTCAAGGGAGCCTTATGCTTCTCTGTCCCCTAATAAAAAAGGCTTAATGTGTACTTAAAACTTACCGGAAACAAGTCAAGAGATCGGCGTTTCGATCTCCTTCTAGGTAAACAAGAGAAGCGCAAATTTGAACCCAGGAACTCTTGCGCTTAACGCAATGAAAGCTGGTAAAGACGAAGACGAAGTTTTTGTATGATTGTCTAGTACGAATATTTACTTACGTTGATCAAAAGAGGTGCTCGCCCGATATATCGTTTTGCTTGAACCAGCTTGAGGTTCGTCCCTGGATGTAGCGCTGTTAATTTGGATGTATTAGAAGTCTTCATAAAAAACATTTCGCGATATAATTCTACTTTTGCAATGCACAGCATAAAAAGCTCAACCTGTACTATAGTAGACAATAGAGTAACTTGTGTAAGGTCTATAACAAAATTCATTTAATCAGAATTATGGCAGATCAATCCAAACTTTCGTAAAATACAATAGTAATTACAACAATAATGTGTGAAATCCCATTTACCCTCGTGGAACATAGGGTGAACACATTTCTGTGTCCGTTTCACTGATCGGTTTTATTTACAGACGAGTAGTTGATCAGATTTCTGTGCCATGCCCGACCGAAACAATTTACTGTTTCTCCGGGATTCGACCCAAGACCTCTCACGCTTGTCACAATGCTAGGCAACACGTTTAACCGTTTAGCTACAGAGGCGGTCTCAATAATGAAACCAACAATAATGGAAGTAAAAATTTTTAAAAATAGAACTTAAAGAATAGATTAGAATTTACACCTGTTGTGATTGTAAAAAAATAACCTTTCGCAAGACACATAAAAATATAACAAAATTAACTGATATATTAGCTTAATAACAGAATATTATACGCTTCATTTATTATTAAATTAACAAAAAAGAGGAAGAAAACTAAACTTTTAAGTAAATCAAATTTATATGACACACAAACTTCTTCACACGCTCTACAAAAGTAAGATAATACAGCGAGAAAATCTACCACAAAGAAGTGACAGTTTAAAGGGACCGCATAAGCGAGAATATATAGAAAATTGGGCCGTTGTTAATACGTAACGATGAGTTGAAATGATTATAGCAAATTTATATTTATTTTGCTTGCATTATATATATAGGTATGAAAAGTCAAGAGAAATGACATAAAAGTCTGTGTAGCGAGATATCTTTCTCGTACGGTCTGAAAATTGAATCCCCGGCTTCATAATAAACAATGGCAGTGCTCGCGACTTTGTCTGCGCGGAATATGTATTTTGGGTATCATATTACTTATTTTTGCAAACACCTTCCCTTATAAATTATAGCCATGTCTCCGGTCGTTTTGCGAGTTAATCTAAAAATATAGACAAATATTATCGCGGAAATTTTATACATCATTCTTTCATAAATAATATTTTCTTGAAACGTTTTCGTTTATAACTTTCCCCTTATTACCACATTTCCCTCTCTTACTTCGCTTCTATTAGTTGCAGCTTGATATTATAATTATAGCCTATAACGTTCCTCGATAAATGGTCAAACCAATACAAAAAGTACTTTTCAATTCGAACAAGTACATCCTGAGATTAACGCGTTCAAACATACGAACAAACAAACACCCTTCAGTTTATAAGTCAGTGTAGATTATAGTATTTCTTACTACTCAAGCTAGTCTATATTTGTAACATATGTATGTTCGATATACATAGTGTAATGTCATATATTACAGCATAATATCAAACGTCAAAATCTTTGAAATATTCTGAACACACGGCAGCTCGGCCTCCCGCGTCATTTGTTTTTTATCCATTCCACGGTCTATACAGTTCGGTGAATTATGAATATGCATATAATAACGCAATATATGCAGGAATAAATTATTATCATAGGCGGAGAATACTAGAGACAAGAAATGTTTTCTACAAGATAGTTCCGACATTGAAGAATCAAATTTTGGTGTTTGAAGTATTCATTCTGTAACTTGATTGTTGTTTCTATTATATACTAGCTGTGTCAGCGACTGCGTCCGCATAGAATAGTTATTTTGGGTATCAAATTTGACTCTATAAATCTAAGCTGTTACGTCGTTCCTGCAAGTTAATCTTAAAAAATAGACATACTGTTGCGGACATTTTTCGAGATAAATTAAACAGGAATTTTTCTTTCATACATATCTTTTGGGTGTCTTAAACCGCGTTCGCAGCGTACGCAACATAAACCCTCACGGATGAATATTTTTATTGCGATTTTTCCACATTTCCCGCAATGTTTTATCACCTTCCTCAATACATTTTCTAACAAAATCAAAAATAATTTTTCAATTCGAACTAGTAGTTCCAGAGATTATTGCGTTCAAACAAACAAACTCTTCAGCTTTATATATCGCTATAGTTTCGAAGAGCATTTCTCATATCCGCGTCTATTCATCGACTACGTCAATGTTGATTTTCAATCTCATTAAATGTTGCACCAAAACTCCAGCCGATATTTAGTTAGTGACTTTATGCATCGCGTCTTCAACTTTCGGCAAACACCAATAATTAAAATAGTTCGAATAACACTGTACATTAGTTTAATTAACTAATTGGATGGCGGGTGTCAGCGCTCGAAATATTAATTGAAAATCGTTTGATTACATTGATTAAAATATTGGATTGTTTATTTAGAAAAATGTTACAATGACATTGTCAATTTTACAATTACAGTTCGTAATAGGTCTTACTAGTAAAGCCAAGTATTAATCATTCTGTAATCGAAATTAAAATAGGAAAGGATGCAAAACCTTTGTATGTTCAATTCATTGAATAAATTAAATAAAATTTTAAAACAACTATAGTCTGTAGTTTACGCGAATAAGATACTTTTAACGGTTAAGGCGACGGGGTTAAGATAGACCCTTGTGTGACCACGTCCGCGTCGGGCCGTAAATAAAATTGTAACTTTCGATTCGAGTTTATACCGTTAAAACTGTATTACCTAAACAATTATGAACTTAATATTACACCAATGCAAGAGGATATTCGCCAAGCTAATAATATAACGATATTTACCTTAGCGACTGTTGAAAGCTGGATAAGCGCGATTGTCGGGAACTTGCAGTCGAAAGTCTATGCACATATTGTCTTTGTGCACCCATACGGTTGTATGTGGGTCCTTCACCAGCGGCTGGAACAAGGAGTATATTAATATCTTGTACGATCGACAAAATAAGTGTACCAGGGCTAAGCATATTCCTTGGTGGGTCTCTATCTCCTGGTGGGTTGTGCGCAAAGCACGTCCGTAATAATAGAATAATTATGTAAATATATTTACAGTTTTTTCACAGTTATCTAGTATATTATAAAATATATAAAAGTAAATGAACGTGCTAATTTCAGGAACTACTGGTTCAAATTAAAAAACTCTTTGTGTTATCGGGAAAGGCTTGAGGCTATTAAACATTACGGTTTCGACAAAATGAAAGAAATGATGGGAAATGTGTAAAAAACGAGCAAAATAAAATCGTTCAGTGAAGTGCATACAAAAATATCGCTCTATTTCCTAAAACGAAGCAGATTTTCTTTTGGTCGTGGAACTTTAAAAATATTGACGTATCACTTAAAAATAGATTATAAATTGAAAAAAAAAACGACTCGGGTAGGACTTGAACCGGCATCTACAGTGTTCTGTGCTGTTGCTCTAACCAATATGTCTTTCACGGAAATTGTTTTATTTACAACATTCATCGCATGCTTTGGGATTGAAAAACTAAAAAACATTTTAAATTCTGGAATTTTAGAATATCAATCTTCTCGTCTATATCTAACTTTCATTCAAGCCAGGCTTGCGATCTCTCAATTTGTTTAGAACGAAGCCCTCGAAAAGTGAATTCACCGGAATACTTCCTATAGAAGGTTAAAAAAAATGGTATTCCGGATCCGGTTATAGATTCTACAAATTGGCGATTCAAAAGCACTCGTCGAAGTCCATTCGAAAAAAGAAATGTTCGAGTTCGAATTTAATAAAGGCCCCATAATCCATACTGTTTATAAGTGTACAATATTGAAACAATCGAGATCTCTAGGGGATTAAAACTGTAATTTCTGGCGTTTAATAAAATGTTTTCGCTATTGGGAAATCACGAGGACTTGGCCCGAGAAAAACTTAATGATGAAGCATTGTAATTAATTCTTAACTTTTACAGAATTCAATAGAATGAAATCCTGCATTCGAGAATCATTTATTTGAAAGCTTCAGCGATGAATGTCTATTTGCGTTTCTTGTTTTAATTTCCTTGCTTACGAATACTTTCAACAGATTAAAAAATCTAATAGTTCGTTTTATAACGTGTTCAACCTTTCTCGTTCAAGGGAAATATTTTTCCCTTCTACGGAAATCGTTATCGATTATTCAGTTATTATTGAATCTTTTAAATAAAAACGGTTTTAATCTTGAAATATATTAGTTAAACAAATAATAAGTTCACGTAGTCACGGGGAGAGTCTCGCCACGGCTACTGCAAAGCATCCGAAATGTCGGGTCGCAGTTAAAACAATTTTCAAATAAGTTAAACTAATATTTATTGCGTTGTAACCGTTAAAGAACCCAAAGATTTAAAATATCTCAGCCATCTTATGGTCGTGTAAGCGTTAACTTAATGTGTACTCAGCTCATTTGCTGAAACAGTTCATATTATTGAAATATAAAAATGGTGAAGTGTTATTTTCAAAACAACGATCTTAAATTTTACATGCGAGACAGTAGCCGTAACACGGTAGAGCACAAGCGTTTTCTCATATGTCCAAACTGTTGGAATCTCACCGAGTCTTTACAAATCATTCACTACACACTACACAGAGTTTGCATTATAACTTGCTCAAAATTGTTTTATATTAAGTGCACTGCGAGGCTTACAGCGCGCTTATATTAATTCTAATGAATGTTCATTTTCAGTGAAAATAAACAAAATAAAGTAATATTGACACTATTTATTTTAAATACTATAGACAGTATTTAAAATAAAGTAATTGAGGAATGGCCACATGGCAAGAGGTCGATTTAAATATAAACCAATTTAACAGCCAGTCAAAGGGGAAGATGGAGTCAGTTAACGGTGGTGATTAATATGAGGAACTAGCTGGAGTGGTGAAGAATATGATGAGCAAAAGGTCACGTGGAATTTAATAGAGGGCGAAGCTCTTGGCACACAAATACATGTACATTAATTATTCTATGCATGACTTCAAACGAAGCAGATTTTCTTTTGGTCGTGGAACTTTAAAAATATTGATGTATCACTTAAGAATAGATTATAAATTGAAAAAAAAATACGACTCGGGCAGGACTTGAACCGTCATGGTCAGCATTCCGTGCTGTTGCTCTACCAATTGAGCTACCGAGTCCTACACCTCATCGTCGAACTTTTTCATATTATAGCCTAAAACCTTCCTTGTTAAATGCTCTAACTATTAGTTCCCTATGAGATTAGCGCAATCAAACAAATGAACAAACTCTTCAGCTTTATAATATTTCTGTCGATATAATTAGTATAAAGAAAGGTAATTTAAGTGGCAAGCCAATTAATCCGATAGGCAAAATCTACGTATCCTAAACTAAAAACCCTCTATATCAGGACAGTACATGGTAAAAGTATGACTTGCCCACTTGGGCAGAAGCTGAATACGCCTCTGCACGGTAAAGTAAAATGTCATTTTAATAGCACACGAGTCTTGTGTACTGGGCATAGAGCCAAAATTGTGTTATTTAACAAGCTTAATAAGTATTTTCTCAACTGTCTTGTCCGTAGTGTGCTGATAAACGTGTACAAAGAAGGTGACATACATTTCTCTTGTCTGTCTATTTTAAATTTCATCTATATATTAATATATAAAGCTGAAGAGTTTGTTTGTTTGAACGCGCTAATCTGAGTAACTACGGGCTTGAATTGAAAAATTATTTTTGTGTTGGTTAGATCATTATCGAGGAAGGCTATAGGCGCAAACATTGCGCTGTGACTAATACAAGCGAAGATACAGCGTGAAAAGTGAACAAAACGGGGGAAATTTTTCATCTCTGTGGGTTTCAGTTGCGCACGCTTCGAAAATTCTTTTATACACATTTTTTAGTTATCTTGAACTAACTAAAAAATGTGTATAAAAGAATTATTCCTCTTTAAATGATCTAAAAAAAGTACGACGCTATATGTCTATTTTTTAGGTGACGACGGGAGGGAACGCGATCGACGTCGTGGCTAACAACTTAAGTTTATAAAGATGACGGGTTTGAAAAACCTAATTTGGATGCCCAAAATAACAATTCTCGCGAACGACGTCGGTGGCACAGCTAGTAATTTTTTTAAGTACTTGTGAAAGTGCATAACTATTGTGTTTATTCTTTTGTTTCCTCCTTAGTTAGTGCCATCTATGAAAATCGGCACTCCAACAAAAATGTTGTTGCAACAGCTGAGTGATCTCTATCCGCACCAAAGTTAGTGTATGTAATAATTTATGTATTTAATAATATTCTTTGGTGTGAAATAAATTATTTGAATTTAAATAATGGCCCTTCTATTAGCAGACAGTTCTTTGGATAACAATGTCTAAGACAAAACTTGCCTTGATGATGATCATAAGAAATATCTAGATACTTACTCTCGTTAGAGTCTGTGGTGAAGGACTGTGAGCATTCATCAGTGGAGACACCCAAGCCGCGGTGGAACATACAAGCCACTCTCTCACGAGCTTCGTTCTCAATGGCCATGTCTTCTGGAGTTTTTAACTGTCAAATATTTACCATAAATAACATAGCACGCCTTTGGCACCATAACGAGTAGGAATGCTTTTTTTGCCGGTTGTAATTAATCTTAATAAGAATTATGTATGTAAGTTAAATAAATAAGAAAAAACAACTTCTGGGCTCTAAAGATTAGGTGGTACGAATATCGAAATTCCGTTTTTTCATTTGGGTCACGAACCAACGTGCGTAGATGGATAATAAATTAAATGTATGCACGTCTTGGTTTAAGTTCTTCGATTTCAACATGTACAAATCAAAAATAGGCCGGCAGTGCATCTTAATAAGATTTAGGACTGGGAAATTTCAACTTCCATCAAAAAGAATCCAAGCGCATCTGTCGCTTTCTTTTATCAAGAAAGAGATCACGAAAACTCATGTAATTACTTTTTGAAAAAAAAATTATAATACAATGCCGATATCAAAGTATCAAAACTATGCGTTAGTTAATGAAAATGACAAACCTTAACTCCGGATTCACTGGCTTCCATCTCGCTGAGATCTCTTGAAGGGTTCATGGCTGCCCAAACGTACATGGCGTGCGACATTCTGGCCTCTTTAATTTTTAGTTCCAACGTCTGTAAAAAACTCGCAATGTACAGTAAATACAATATTTTTAGAAGTTTTTCGTTTAATGATAAAGGAGAACACACAAGTTTCACTTGATGGTAGGTAAATAAAACACTTTAACGGTTTCAAACGCGATATACTGAACGGGGAATCTCCCCGTGACCACGGCTGCTGCAAAGCATCCGAAACGTCGGGCCGAAGTTAAAAATCATTTTCAAATAAGTGTAACTAATATATCGCGTTTTACACCGTTAAAGTGTTTTATTTAAATGTTCGTCCTCAAAAACTTCCAACCGATCGTGCTTCGTGTACTCAACTACTCAAACGAACTCGAATTATTGCATACTAATGAAAGTTTTCTATGTTGCAAGTCCTTTAATTAAAAATACACACTGACAGGCAAACTAGCAGCATATTGCAAACGTTTTGAAGTCCGTAGAGCGTTGGTTGTTTATTTAAGAAAGTTTACATATTGAGCTTTTAACGACTCGTTGCTCCAAAGGTAGAAATAACTAATAGACAACTAGACGGGGATTTGATTGGGTCCACCATGTTTGTTTACGAACTTCCGAATACTTCAAACATTAGAGCCAATATCTGGAAAAGCTTCGACTTTCGGTTTCAAGGTGAATACTAAAAACTCGAATCAGTGTAGGATTCATCTTAATTAAATGTGATTTTAATTACGATAGAAGCCAGACAAGCAAAAGGTAGAATACCCCAGCAATATAACATCTAAACTATAGACTTTATGTGCGATAAAACTTCATGTTTCTCTCGTCTGTGGACGACAAGATTCGGACGGAATTTCGATTACCGCCCCATTTAATATCCAGATTTCCAGGCGAAGTCAAACACCTTAAAGAAACTATACATTGATTTTGCTGCCATTACACTAACGAGCCCGGACCATATAACATCTAACCAAGATACGCCATCGAACTATTTTCGCTTCGGGTATTCTGAAATGCACAGACTAGAAAGCGAAACGCGATTAATACCTGTAACACATTTTTTCACTTGTCCACGTTAGTTCAGGACTTAGACGGAATTCTGATAATTCCGATATTCCTACCACCCATTCGACATCTAGATTTCCAGAGAACAGAAAATTCTACATTGATAGCAAACATGATGGACCCGATTGGGCGTCGAACAGTATACAGTATAATTTAGCCTAAATCAAATAAAGCCTATAGTTTTTTTTTTGATAGAGGTGGATAATACGGGATCACGTGATGAGTACAGAGCACCTAACACTGTCAACCAATTTGGTTTTGGATATTTGGTTATTATCTTTACCTTGAGAGTTTGAGCTGGCATAGGGTCTTTCGATGATTCGCTCAGAGTAAAACAGCCGGTGGCGGAATTACAATCATCCAATATGATGTATACCAGGCTGTTTTGGCTTGGAGACTTGGCCGACTTCTGCCAAGGCACGAGCCGCTCCAAAAATATTTTTGGCCTACGAACAGATGTTCGGAGTTAACGTTTTTTGATAAATTTCACTTTATATCCGACGTGTGCCGCTAACACGAATGTTGATTGGCTTATCATGGACGAGTGGGCAAAATTTATAGATGACGCCTTTATTATTTTTCACCAAACAAACCGACATGTCCATAAATAGATAATAATAAAAAAGCTATACAAATTTAATAGCTGCGCATTTGTCTACAGTCAGACCATATAAGGTAGAGAACTAAACAATTCTCTTAATTATAGATTTATATAATTTAGGTATTTCTTATAACCGTGGCTCTAATTTTATAAAAGTTTCGTCTGACACATAATATAAAAGGTTTTAGGGATAGAAGACAACACGCTAATTAAGAGATACTTATTTAAATAAAACACTTTCAACGGTTTAAAACTTTTAAAATGTATCTCTAGTACTGTGTTGTAAATATGTAATAACTATAAATACTTTAGAAGTAAACACTTGATAGGTGGAAATTTTAAAGAATAATATATTTCGCGTTTTAAACCATTAAAAGTGTTCTATTCAAATGTGTACAAGCGTCAACTATAAATACTTTAGAAGTATCTTATGATGGGCAGATATATTTTATTACCTTATCATTTTGAAGGGTAAAGAGTTCCCTTTTGATTGCTTTTTACAAATCAACATCAGATCCGTTAGAAGGAATAGCTTGACTTCAGTCTGCAATAGAATGATTCTGTTAACATTTGCAATGCGTCGCACAACGTACAAGTTAAAAGAATTCGCAAAACGAAAAACATTCGCATTCAGCCTTAACGCTAAGTAAATTTAAGATTCGGATGCATCCAAGGAAACAAGCGTATAATAATTAATTTAGGTCCTTGCCTCTTTCCCTATATTATCCTTGAACCGCAAATCGCATTCGTATAAAAGATTTCTCAGTGGTAGATCGCTAGAATTTAACATCGGCGTCCTCAAATTTAATGCACAATACGCTTTGAAAGCTTTCTCCATTTCCTCATCTTTGAAATCCTAAAACAAATTACATCATGTAACAAACAAAATAATAGAGCAAGCGAAAATTCGATATTTAATTTCAACGTGACCACGGCTGCTGCAAAGCATCCGAAACGTCGGGCCGAAGTTAAAAATCATTTCCAAATAAGTTTAACTAATATATCGCGTTTTAAACCGTTAAAGTGTTTTATTTAAATAATTTCAGCTCTTCAATGTAATTAATTAAATAAAGCTGTTTGTTTGTTTGAACGCGTTAATCTCTTGAACTACTGGTTCGCAATAAAATACAAAATTATTTTTGTGTTAGTTAGAGCACTTATCGAGGAAGACTTTATGTTATAATTACAATGCAGCCAATAGAATGTATGTTAATTACAGTGAAAAATATTTTTCGCGGTTTTCGTTGCGTACGCTGCGAAAACGGTTCAAAATACCCAAAAAATATGTATGAAATAATGATTCCTATTTACATGATCATTATATCCGCGATACTATATGTCTATCTTTTAAGACGCAAGAACGACGGGACGCTACGGATTTCGTGGGCTCTTTTATAAAGATGAGGGAGGGGTTTGTAAACACAAATTTTAATGCCCAAAATAACACAACTAATATACAGATGTATAACAACTTACCAGTTCATGAGGCTCAATCGAGCTCGCCAGATCATCTATCTTCTCCAGCTCTTCCCGTTGGCGCATCGATCGATTTAAGTCGTTTACGTAACATTTAACATAATTCTCCTTTTGAAAGTAAATAATAATATTTAGTGAAAATGGAACAGTCTTTGCGTATTACATATATATATTCTCACTTCATTAATTGTTTTAATCATTAAATACAAGTAATGATCAGACTTATATTGATCAGCTCACGGAAGACGTAAACCCAGAAGATAGTTCAGTGTTAAGTTAAACAATATATGTACTAATATTATAAAGCTATAGTTTGTTTGTTTGAACGCGCATTAACTATAGGAACAACAGGTTGGTTAGAGAATTTATCGAGAAAGATTTTAGGCATCACACGACGCTGCGAACAATGGCTGAAACAGTGGGAAATTAAAAAAAAAACAACGGGAAAGCCTCTCTCTTTGTGTGTTCGTTGAGGGCACTGCCAAAATGGTTCAAGATACCCAATAAATATATATATAATTTCCGCGACAATGTATATCTTTCTTTTAAGATTAAGTTGGAAGATCGACTAGTTGCGGACGACGTCGTGGGTAACAACTATAATCTATTTAAATAAAACACTTTAACGGTTTAAAACGCGATATATTAGTTAAACTTATTTAAAAATGATTTTTAACTTCGGCCCGATGTTCCGGATGCTTTGCAGCAGCCGTGGTCACAGGGAGACTAAAGATGGAGGATGTAAATTTTTTTAAATAAGTTTAACTAATATATCGCGTTTTAAACCGTTAAAGTGTTTTATTTAAATGTGTACTACTCGCGTAAACTATAGACAGTATTTAACTGTAATCTACACTATCTAGGACACTGTAGTTCATGGTTTGATCTAACGGAACGCTGTGGAATACCGATTCAAATCCTTCTCGTGTTGTATTTTTTTTTCAATCTTAAATCTATTTTTAATTTTTAGTCTATAAAGATGAGGAGGTTTGTAAAACCAAATTTTGACGCCAAGACCTATTCTCCAGGATGAAGTCGCGAGCACAGGTAGTCTAAAGATATGGAACGTCAGTTCTGAGGTACTTGAGGTTCTTGCAATAAAGGCAAATTGTTAATAAGAAATGAAAAACTGATTTTTTCAACACTCATCATCTCTTATTGGGCTTACGCTAACCGTAACTTGATCATATAGGCCGACTTACCATTGTTTTCAGTGTAACAGACTCCTCACTCGATTTAGCATGTGCAGCGACTCGCCGAAGTATAAGACTATACTTCGTGAGCCGTTGCATTGGCTTCACCAGCAGATCGGCTAACTGAAGTCTAGAAAACAAGTATAGGTTACGACAAAAAAGCCTAGCGTTGAGCTTACAATTTAATTTATGCGCATAGCGACTCTGCGCAGTTTGACTACTTTTTGTGCATATTCGTTCAACCTTATATCAATTCCTTTAAAGGATACACAATGTTGACTATATGACGCTGTTAGAGGCAGAGTGGCCTAATAACAAAACGTAAATTTCGATAAGGAAAGTAAAAATGCGCAATTCGCTTAGGCGAAAATTAATTGGTACTATTAATTGTGTAGATTATGTTGACAAGTTGTTGTAGATTAACATTTTTGACTGTGAAATTATGAATAACTCAAGTCATAAAGTTGCAGTTAGGCTACCTATTGTTTACAAGACTTAAATTAACTAAGGTCATGTTTGTTACTTATTTTTTATACTTTTCAAACGATTTTTAATCTTGAATAACAGTGCTATACACACTGTCTGAAGTTTACCCGAGTAGTACACATTTAAATAAAACACTTTAACGGTTTAAAACGCGATATATTATATGAACATTATTGAAAGTACGGCCCAACGTTACGGATGCTTTGCTAATACATATCGCGCTTTAAACCGTTTAAGTAATTTATTTAAGCATTGGTTCACATTTATATAAAACACTTTAACGGTTTAAAAGGTGAAATATATTAGTTATATTTATTTATAGAGTAAGTTAATTCATTAGTAAATTTAAATTAGGTATACAATTTATTTTAACTAAAGCGCGACGTTTCGGATTCTTTTCATTTTAACTGATACATTTCGCGTTTTAAACCGTTATAGTTTCATTTCAATGTGTAATACTCGCGTAAACCACAAACAGTATTTGGCATTGGTAATATAGTAATTGGTTATAATGGATTCGCTTAGTCTTATTTTTAAACTACTAGGCTTTCTTGCTCGCATATAATACGCATATCTGTCCATTTGTTACCTGTTACACGACTTGTTAGAGTAACACCAGTTAAGGTACATCGAGAATTCCGGGTCATTTTGCATAAGCCGCAGGTACAGCATCATTTTCGATTGATCAGCCATGTACCGCTCATAGGGCTGGAAGATCTCAGGGAAACGGCTGAATCCCTCAGACATCAAATCGACATTGTAACTGCAAAGAATTTTTGCATTTCCGTTAATAATAGAGAAGGACAGACATAACATGGGGTCCACTTGATGGTAGGTGATATACACCAAGGCCTATAGTGCAAACAAGATGCGCTGTCGGCCTATTATGGCTTCGTATATTGGGCAAACCGCAGACTGAAACCGAAACGCGATTAAGCTGATGACCCGGACGGAATTTCTATATTCCTACCACCCATTTAATATCCAGACGAAATTCAGCATGTTTCTGAAAAAATATAAATTGACAAATTAGAAGCACGATGGACGTGGTGGAGATCGAACCCGCGACCCGTTGGTCATAAGCCATATAATGCTACCGTTACACCAAAGAACCCCCCCCGTCCACCTCAAAAATCCCCGTTAGCCCTTCATTTAGATATATACTACATCAATCCCATAGAGGTTTTCATGCAGGGTTTTATTACGGTGTATTATTCTCCACGGCGTCCTTCACCATGGGGTAAAACGTTAGGTTCCAGAATATCAAATTTGCGTTAAGCAAATCCGGTATATTTGAAAAGAGTCTTGCTGTATCCAATTGGAGCATTTTGCCGCTATCTTGGAGCGAGTGTGCGGCGGCAATGAATACCTGCAAAAATATAAATACTTAGCCTATTTTCTCAAAGCTCAGACACACCTAAATATAGTGAGCCAAAAAACACTGCTAGGCAGCGCAACGAATATCGCCCTATGATATTTTCATTCACTTTTTAATGTGCTTTAATTTTTTTAAGGAATAAGAGTCATATAAAACACTCTAACGGTTCAAACCGCGTTATATATTAGTTAAACTTATTTAAAAATTATTTTAACTACAGTCCAAAGTTTTGGATGCTTTTTTATATATCGCGTTTTAAACCGTGTAAATGTGTTCGCCCCATACGCACGAGAGGCAACGGGGTTTCACAAAAAACACAGAATTCCCGTTTGTGACAGTCTTAGACGCACTTTAACTTGTATAAGAGAAAATGAATTATATTCCTACCCCCTTCACTAGCGTTCCAATGGTAGAGTAACAGCACGGAACGCTGACGATGCCGGTTCAAGTTCTGCCCGATTCGAAATTTTTTCAATTTATTTTCGATTTTTAAATTGTACAGTGCCATCATGTGAATGAAGATGATTTACTACATATCTTTAATGTTATGCCAGAGATTACATTCGTAAACAGTAACAACGAATTTTTAAATTAAATATTTATTTCTCAATGAGCATGATATTTCAAAATTAATAACTCATAAGTACCATAAAGCTAGTTATTTCAGTGCACGCTCTCAGTAAAAAATAATTGATCTCCATACATCCATGCAGAAGTATGCCACTTCAATAATATATATCGGATTACGAACAGTATTTGTAAGTGGGGAAACAATGTATTTTATTTTGCTAAACAAATACTACAGTCCAACGGTGTTATTTCAAAGGTTTTCCCGGGGAATTAGTTTTCTTTGCCGCGAGGAAGCTACCGATAAAGCCAAGAGGGGTTGGAGTTAAGTAAAATATGTTTTTGAACTTCGCGTCATTCATTCTAACCTTATTTCAACTTTTTAATATGATTGAAGTTCTTCGTTATCAGATTAAAACATTGTTGCGCACACTATTCTAATGGCCGTGGCGATTTTTTAATTGTCTAATATCTTATTGTGGGTATAATTAGTTTTCTCAAGCACGCTTGGAAAGTTTAGTATTATTTTGACAACCTTAAATCGAACTTACTGTACTCGGTCGAGCAGCGGCCGGCAACAGTTGTATGAAGCCATATCTTTCGTGTTCAGCGGCCAAATAAATTACTATGTAAAATTTGTCGTGTAATTTAAAAATAGAACGATCTTCTTCTCCGCTACATGGCGACTAAAGATGTATCTTATCAAAGGTATAACTTAAATTTCGAACTGGTTTGCAATAAGAAGCTGTTTAGTGAAAAAAAAATTGTTATTGGTTGGTCGTCAACTTCGTCATTGGTTTTAAAGATCTGAGAATAGTACAATACAAGTCTCGGCCGCAACTAGGCATTGATTGACTTACGTATTTGTGCCTGAGCCTAGCCTCAGACCACATTCACACGTTCGTCTATCAAAGCCTCTTTAGCCGGCCGCTGCAGTAATGTACTTGCAATCTATACAAATATATAAAGCTGAAGAGTTTGTTTGTTTGTTCGAACGCGCTAATCTCAAGAACTACTGGTTCGAATTGATTTTTTTTTTTTGGTAATTAGAGCAATTATCGAAGAAGGCTATAGGCTATAAAACAACGCGCTGTGACTAATAGGAACGAAGAAATAGCAGAACATGTGGTAAAAAAGATGAAAGAAAATGTACGAAAATAGTTTAACATACACAAAAAATATGTTTGAGAGAATGATTCTTCTTTCAATTATCAAAAAAAATGTCCGCGACAGTAGGTATATATCTCCTAAGATGACCTCGCAAGAGCGACGGGACGGGTCCAATGACTTAGGTAACAGTTGGCAAAAATGATTTTGGATGCCCAAAATAACTATTCTAGCAGACGAAGTCGCTGACGCAGATAGTTAGTCGTAATTTTGATAGTTTTATCTTTTAGGAGCAAATTTCATGCGTGGAGAATTTCTGGACACACTACATATACGTCTGTATATGTGAAACCGATCGATCTATTGAAATGATTATAAAGAAAATTTCAAAAAAAAACACGATCAGTCGTGTAAAACCCAAAATAATACAAATTAATTTTATAAACATCGCTACAATATCTGCCATGTTTGTAATCTATTATTCCGTTTCACTAATACCATATCCCGTTCGTATCCGGTTCGACGAGCATAATAATTGAACAAACGAAAGACGCAAATAATTCGTCAGAGAAGCAAAACCTCCATCTGTACACATCTTTATGCCGTCTTCAAGATCCCTTTTTAAATTTAAATTAAATGAAGGTCAAGAGCCGTTTACAACAAAGGATATGTGGAGCGAAATTAATTTTACAGGATAGCAAATATAAACTCTTACGAGTGTGTATTTTACGATTGCGATTAGAATAAATAAATCGAAGTAACGTCCATTTGTAAACGAATGACTTGGCAAGTATTGGCGTTTGAACGACCGGTAAGGCAATTGTTTGAAATCTTATTTGCTATGTTATTGAAATAAGAAAGAGAATACCGCTTTCCCTGCAAGAGCACGAGGCGAATATATGTTTGCATCCGTTTGACTGATTTAATTTTCTAACGGCCTCGTTGGCCTAATGGTAGCAATCTATGCCTAATGATAAACGAGTCAGGGGTTCGTTGAAATAATAATAATAATAGTAAATGAAATATGTTGGACGTTGTTTGAAAATCTGGATGTTAAGTGGGTGGTAGCAATATCGAAATTCATTCTGGGTCCACCACCGTTCACAGATGATTTTTTATACATTTTTATGGATCCCGTTTTCAGTACATCTCTGAAGTGGACGCAATTCTGTGTCTATTACACTAATAAAAACGATCTTAGGCAAGAAGTCAATACTATAGTTACCCTTCGTAAATGTAATAAAATTTAAAAATAATTGTGTTACTATATTTTCTTTGGTTATTTATTTAAAAAATCATTGATATGACTTTAATTAGCCATATTAATAAATTTGAAAATGAATATTTTTTTCATTGACGTTCCATAATCAAATATTGTCTTACGTAAAAAGTTAACTTGGCACTGCTTCGTATTAAATTGAAATTCTTTCAATTGGAACTCCCGGTAGGCATATTCGAAGAGAAACATCCGTATTTAGCATAAAACAGGTAGAGATGAGAACAGTAATTGGAAATGTTTCTGACGTCACATTTTAATTTAAAAATTGCGGTTACTTTGTAGTGATGACTTGAAGCATATCGCTATTAGGGCATTCTTTATTCGCGTTTAAATTTATTAAAATCTATTACTAAGCGCAGTGCCGTGTGGGGAGATAAAATTGATTGATAGAGCACCCAAAACGGAACACTACTAAAGTAGGTCAATGTATGTAGGCTTTTAGAAGTCATTTTGATCACTCTACATTAGCCGCTCGCAATAACAATAGTGTTCTATACAAATAAAACAATTTAACGGTTCAAAATGCGAAATACATTAGTTAAACTTATTTGAAAATTATTTTAACTACGGATCAAAACTTGGGCCGTTGTTAAAATAAATACGAATTAAATTAAAAAAAATGCGAAATATATTAGTTAAACTTATTTGGAAGTTTAACTAATATATTTCGCATTTTAAACCGTTCAAGTGTTTCATTAAAATGTGTGCAACTCGCGCAAACTACGGACAGTATATAATGTTCTCATTAATTAAATGTGGGGGGGACCAAAGTTTGAGTACCGGCAAAACAACAAAACATGACTTTTTTGTATGTCTTGAAGGTGCGTGGGCGCGGGTGACTCGTAGTAATCATGTCTTTGTTGTCATGACATTGCTATACATTTTTATTATTGCATCAGTCATTAATTTTATTCGCAGTCCAACTATTTTCTTCTTCCTCGGGATTCGATTCGGAATACTAAACAACAAATATGTTCGAATCCGAAATATAACCTTCATAGTTTTTTATAACACAGATCGCAGATAAGCATGGATTATACTCGATAGTAGGTCAACTATATATAATAAACCAGATGCGCTATCGACCCATTTTTGATTTATACAAATGCAAAATATAACAGTATCGTTGAAAAACTCGACGTCAAGTCCACGATAGGGAATCTTAAAAGTGCTTGTTCTGTATCCTATACGTGTTCCTTTATTAATTCAATATCTCCTGAATTGAGGAAACGCAGAGAACAATTCTCGGATAAGCTACAAGAATTTGTTGGGTTTCTTAAAATTCCGTGAAACAGTCGTACTTTGTCTTGATATTGCACAGCGCAAAAGGACAATAATATTAAACTAAGAATAGACTTAAAATGGTATTGTTTTAATTTGAAAACTCGTTCTTTCAATTACGGCTTATATCTATTCTAATATTTAAAGCTGAAGAGTTTATTTGTTTGAACGCGCTTATCTCAGGAACTACGGGTTCAATTTGAAAAATTCTTTTGGATTTAGAGCATTTATCGAGGAAGGCTATAAGCTATAAAACATCACTCTGTGACTAATACAAGCGAGTATACAGTGGGAAATGTAAAAATCATTCATCATTATGGGTTTCCGAGGCGTACGCTGCAAAAATGGTTCAAGATATTTTAAAGTATGTATGAGAGAATGATTTCTCTTTAAATGATCTAAAAAACGTACGCGATTATTAAATAAGATGATATATGTCCATCTTTTAAGATTAACTTGCAAGAACGACGGGAAGTGACGCGATCGTAGTCATGGGCGTAGCTTAAGTTTATAAAGACGAAGGAGTTTTCAAAAAGGAATTTGGATGCACAAAATAGCAATTCTCGCGGACGAAGTCGCTAACTTAGCTGGTTAAACTAACAAGAGTCCTAATTAAAAATCTTTAAAGAACACTTTTAACGGTTTAAAACGCAAAATTTATTAGTTAATACCCCTATTAACTCTCTCCCTCTGTGTCCACAACATCCATAGTTAAAATAAATTAAAAATAAGTTACATAATGTATTTCGCGTTTTAAACAGTTAAAAGTGTTAAAGTACGAGCTAAAAATACTTTCGGGATTACGGGCTTCAAACCCACGGCAAGTATCATGCCTTTTATGGTCATGATTTCGGGTTTATATAAACTATCATATACAAACATGTAAGTATTACAAATATTTAAATTATCTGTATTTTTGTAAATCTTAGTATAGGGTAATATTTAGATATCATCGTTGCTAAAAAAGTCAAGAGTACAATTGTTAATAACAGTTTCCATTGAAAAGTATTTTATACATACATCGCGTCTATAACCTTACTAATTATTATTTTTGATATGAATTTTGCAAACAAGAAAACAACATTTGCCGGATCTAATACCTAGATTCTAAATATAAAAAGTGTATTGTTGTGTCTGTTTTCATCTGTAACCTACAGAACCATCGCTCGTATCGAGTAATCTTTAGTCGAATTTAATTAGAATGTAAGGGCTGTTCAAATGTTTTTTTTATGATGGCCATATTTTTATTTTTCTTTTGTTCTCTGATGACACTTACCTCAACTATCACCATCAGGTGCTGGATGTAATTCGCCTCCGTAGCCACCAATTCCCGGACAACTGCCTGTTTCCGTTGCTCGTTTTCATCCAGGGCTGTCAAAAACACGAGAAATTAAACATACCTGTTTTATTCAGGTTATCCTGTTTCCTTACCGTACTGACTTGATTAAAATATACTGTGTAGTTATTCATTAGATTAAATAGACCTGTCCGTTATTACAAGTAAAACTATTTTTTTATTATAGAGGCTTTGAATATTCTGAATCCACAATATGCCTGAAATAGAAAAGCGATTAAAGTCCACGGTTTCAAACCGTTAAAAGTGTTAAAGTTCTTTAAATTTATAAAGTTTAAATTAAGGAAATGATATTGATTATTAATTCCTATCTTAAAGTAATTTTTTAACCAGTGTCATAATTCTAAAAAGTACTTTTTATAAAATCTCTTTCCATGACTTTGTATGTAAATAAATATAAATTTGATTTGTATTTACTACTGCATTGTAACTATCAATATATTTTTTAAATCATATGTTAAATACTGTCTATAGTTTACGCTAGTAGTACACATTTAAATAAAACACTTTAACGGTTTAAAACGCGATATATTAGTTAAACTTATTTGAAAATGATTTTTAACTTCGACCTAACGTTTCAAATACTTTGCGGCAGCCGTGGTCACGGGGAGACCATGATTTAAAAAAAATCATATGTTTTCTTTAGTGTCGGTCTCTAGGTATTATTATTATAGATCTAATCTGAACATATGTTTAATAATTTTAAAACATGATACTGAAACAATTGACCTATTTCTGCCGCTGTCTCGACATTCGTTAAAGATTCTCTTAATTTTATAGCTAAACGATTATTTCCCTTGTCGTAAAACTATTTGTGGGGCTGTATACTCGTCTGGTTATTTTATAGGCAATATGCACATACGTTGATACTTTTTTAATTGTGAAAAAGGTGGGAGACTTGTCGAGTTACTGGTACTTGCAATACGACTCTTTAAGTTTTAAATTAGAGTTTAATTACCAATTTACATATATTATCTATCTAGTAAAGTAGTTTACGCGAGTAACACACATTTAAATAATGCAGCTAGACGTTTCAGAGTCGTGGTTAAGGCTGCTGCAATCCATCTAAAACGGGTCGTGGTTAGTTAACATACATTAAAATAAGTGAAGAATATATTTTGCGTTTTAAACCGTCAAAAGTGTTTTATTCAAATATCTCAAAATAACTTGTTTATCAACATGACTCATCATCAATCATTATCATTGACGAACGTCGTATAACTAATACGGTATGTCATGTTTACTGTTTTGGGCACGGTGTATACATACTTTTACGCATGTATTTGTTATCTGATCTCTACCGAATTATGAGTCTCTAAACTTTGAGCTACAAATGTGCAATAACATGAAAAATAACGAAGACTTCATATGGAATTAATTTTAATATAACGTCAAGATGTTAAATTTAATTTAAGATCATGTCTTTTCGGGTTGTTTGGACGATGTAAGCGAGAAGAGGTTCTCGGCGTCATGAGCGGACGGCATCATCAGAAGATGTTGTTAGCTCCTCGATTGCTCGAAGAATTAATTAATGCTGAACGGCTGCGAAATCCTTTCAGCAATTTATATCAACCTCAAAGGACATTTGTGGAAATTAAGAGAGATTTGTAAAAAAGCTAAGAAGTAAAACCTATTTATAGAAAATAATTAATCTAACGTAGCGCTACAGCTACGGTTCGTAGAAGAGTGTAGTCCTCTACGAAAATACAACTGCGTTAATCTCGACTAACGCATTATTTATACGTAGTTACGTATATTCATAACTATTAATAAAATATAAATTCTCGAAAACTTTATTATTTTTTACATATAGCACATGAAGGCACTATATAATTTAAAAATCGTAATAATTTGAAAAAAATTTCGACTCGAGCATTGATGCATGCACCCCTTGTGCATGTATCAATAAGTTGAAAAAAATCGACGATGAGGTGTAGGACTCGGTAGCTCAATTGGTAGAGCAACAGCACGGAACGCTGATGCCGGAACGCCTGTTTTTATGTCAATTTTTTTTCGATTTTTAAATATAAATTTTCATTAATTTTGTAGGATAGAAGAATGACATATTTTTATTTACAGGCATGTAGTTGATCGAGCCCGAACGAAAATTAATAAACATTATTTTAATTAATCAATTTGAATTTAAAAATTAGTACGACACGGGCACGACTTGAATCAGATGTCCACAGTATTTCCGTGCTATTGTTCTAACAATAACTAAATAAGCTCACAAAGTAACTCGCCGAATTTTAACTTTTTCCAATCTAAATTAATTATATGATAACTATAATTATGATAGCATTATGAAAAAAAAAAGTTTTCAAATATTAAACACTACTCCTGCACGCTTAATTAAACTTAAGTAATGCATTTAACTAAACCACGCAGGCGTTAATTAATTATCCTATGAATTTCAATTGACAGTTTTTATGGGAACTACCATAAACAGTAGACCATAAAACATTTACAGATAACTTGTTTGTTTGTAAAAACCTCTGTAATTAGCTAAACGGACAAAATCTATATCTGTACTAAGATATGCTGAACACACAATTGTTTGTTGAGCATATCTTAAGCTCGCTTGAATTGAAAAATTATTTTCGTGTTTGTTAGACCATTTATCAGGGAAGGCTATAGGTTAAAAACATTGTGCTGCGCCTAATAGGAGCAAAGTAATAGCGGGAAATATGCAAAAAATGTGGAAAATAATTCACCTTTGTTGCGTATGCTGCAAAAACGGTTTAAGATAACAGAAAATATGTATAAAAGATTGCTTTTTGAATTGTCTGAAAAAATGTCTGCGACAGTGTCTATCTTTTAAGATTAACTTGCAAGAACGACGGGAAGCGAACGACGTAGTGGGCAATATCTTAAATCTATAAAAAGGTTCGCAAAAACAAATTTTACGCGGATGAAGTCGCTGCTGACACAGCTAGTAGCTGAATTCTTTGAAACTGAGATAAATAATACATAGAACAGGTATTTAAAAATATACCAGATCACGCCGCTACTATAGTTCGTTTAAAATATGGAGGAAGAGTCGAGCATTAAATTTTGTAGTGAATTTAATACTTAAATATCCGTCGACATTATAAATCTCAATTGAATTTTGAATGGATTATTGACGCGTCAATTAAAATCATTATGTTCTACAACGGAACGAAAATGTACATTTATTATCTGTACGGCGTTAATCAACTTTGCACTTTTAACGGTATTCGAAAATTTAAACGTGGAACAAAAGAATATCACTATACACAAAGAATGATTCATCTTTTGTACTTACTTGTATCGAGTTATTTGACAAAATCGTTACTAAGTTAAAGGATTTAAATAAATAAATTCAAACCGTTAATTTTAAAAGTCGCACGCAAAAGTAACTTTAATTTATCCTTTATTGATCGAAACACTAACTAATACTTTTTTTTTCTTATTTTACTATAGAACAAGACAGACAGGCATGAGGTTCTTGATAGTAGGTGGAATAACACAGTCATATAACGTCTAAGATGCGCTGTTAAAACATGTTGGGCTAAGCGGGGATCGAAGCCACGACCTGTTGATTACTAGCCATATTGCTATTATAACCAACGAGCTTTTCAAATTAAAAAAAATCACGAGTGTGAAAAATATCATATTGTATTTGTGAGTCCAAAATATCGTGTAAAGATATGAAAATCATAACGATTCAATAAGAAGGATGCAATAAAAATCCTCGAGTCACACGCAAAAACCACTTTGTTACGCGGCTTGATACAAATTACAGTAATTTTATATTAACAAAAGCAGTATCGGAAGAATTTTATCCCCCGCAATAATTCGGTGTGAAATATTCGGTAGCTATTAGTGTAATTAAGGGGATGACTTATTTTTATTGCAAAAATCTCTCATCGGTTATGGCCATACTTAGAGCAGCGCCTTGAATTATTGCGAAGGCTGTATCGATTCATTTTAACATTATTAAATTGCTTTTACTAGACTTCGGACTCGGCGCTTGTTATATACAAAAGCTAACGTCTTACAGTATGTATTATTGATTACAATACAAACTTACAGCTGGTCGAAACCAATTGTGTGTAATAGTATTATGAAACAATATTTTCATTTAAAATAAATTATAATTGTAAATTCGTAGCTTTTTGCATATGTACTGTTCATTGTGTTTACGCTTAAGTGAAAATGTATTTCTTGCGTAAATAAATGTCCACCACATGTGTGTTTCACTTGTATTTTATTAATAGTTAATAGTAAAAGTTATAAATTTGCTAAAAAAACATATAAAAATTAATTTGAGTTAGACCAAGAAGTTATATAAAGATAATTTTCTGTTTTCTAATATTTAATGAAAGTTATTGGCAGGGAGTTTGTTGAAATAAAAAAAGAGTCTACATAACCGGCTTTTTGTTATCATAGAGTTGGAAAGTAGTTATTTGATTAAAGGTAAAATAATAGGCCCTATCTATTGTAACTAAAAAAGATTCACCGTTAACCTATTTTCGTTAACGACTACTTTATGATTAAATAAGGAATGATAACCTGCTTTGCGGAACACGAAGATAACCATACTCTTCTACAAAATTATCGTATTATTATTATTATATAATGATATAATAATTATTATTGATACATTCTGAGAAATCGAAATGCTCAACTAACATGTGACTAGGACATTTGTAACGGTTTCTCTTGAATTATATGAACTAGTATTTTCGAATAACATAGACAATATAAACACTTAAACGGTGTCGTGATCACGGCTAGACGGCTGTCTCCCATGACCACGGCAAAGCATCCGAAACGTCGGGCCGTGGCTAAAATAATTTTCAATTAAAGTTTTACTAATAATATATATCGCGTTTTAAACTGATAAAGTATTAGTGTTTTATTTAAATAGACGTTTAAGTTAAAAACAATCGACTCTACAGTATAGTTATATTTTTAATTTACTGTACATCATGTAAGTTGATGCAAAACAGTTTTGGGGGAGTTGGATTGTTGCATTCAACAAGTGCATGGA